TGAAAATGAAGGGCAGGGAGAGATGAAGCAGATTTGGGAGAAGGCATAAGGGGGGGCTTAACCAGAAGCCTCTCAGCGTGGGAGACTACCCCTTGCTCCTACCAAATGTCTGCAGCTAGGAACATATCCCTTCTTGGTGACTCCTGTCTTCTCCCCAGACGGACTGCCTCCCTGTGGTGATTATTTCTAACATGAACCAACTCTCAATTGCCTGGGCCTCGGTTCTCTGGTTCAATCTGCTCAGCTCAAACCCCCAGGTAGGAGGAGGGGCCCACAGGTGAAGGGAGGCGAGGAGGGGTATAGCAGCTTGGTGTGAGGGCGCTGCTTCTGAGCCACCTGCCTTCCTCCCCCCCTGCAGAATCAGCAGTTCTTTTCCAGTCCCCCCAAGGCCCCCTGGAGCTTGCTGGGCCCTGCTCTCAGTTGGCAGTTCCTCTCCTACGTCGGCCGAGGCCTCGACCAGGACCAGCTGAGCATGCTGAGGAACAAGCTGTTTGGTACTGACCTCCTTCTTTTCTCTCAGCCTTGCCCTAGCCTTAGTCTGCCCTGGCCCTCCATCCTTTCTACCCCAGGCCCCCGGCCTTGCCTCCTTCCATCATCTGAACTGTCTTTCTGCCCACAGGGCAGAACTGTAAGACTGAGGATGCGTCATTGTCCTGGGCTGACTTCACTAAGGTAACTCCTTGCATCCTGTGCACCTAGATCCTAGCCCCCAGTCCAAACACTAGCCTTTCTGCATCGCTCCTTCCCCACACCAGGGCCAACTCCACATCTCTTCCTGCCTTTCCATTCCTCCTTCAGCGAGAGAGCCCCCCTGGCAAGCTGCCGTTCTGGACATGGCTTGACAAAATTCTGGACCTGGTACATGACCACCTGAAGGATCTCTGGAATGATGGGTGAGGCCTTGGTCAGCCTCGCTCTTCCTACCCCCATCCCCACCCCCAGGCCCAGCTGCCTTTCTGGGCTTGAGAGTGGACTCTGTGCGCCCTCATGTGGCAAACAGGGAGAGCGAGCAAACACTGGTGCAAGGTCACACCCCTTCACATTTGCAAGAATACTCGTCACCACTATTAGTCAAGCATCTAGCATGTTCCAGAGCCTACTGGGTGCTCTTTATGAGTTCTCTCATGTAATCCTTACACCCATGCTAAGTGGTAGACGTTGCCACCCTCAAGTGAGGAAACTAAGGCTCAGAGAAGTTAAAGCATGTACCTAAGGTAGTCAAGCATCTAGCATGTTCCAGAGCCTACTGGGTGCTCTTTATGAGTTCTCTCATGTAATCCTTACACCCATGCTAAGTGGTGGACGTTGCCACCCTCAAGTGAGGAAACTAAGGCTCAGAGAAGTTAAAGCATGTACCTAAGGGACAGAGGTGGGATTCGAACCCAGTCCTGTCAGACCCCAAGCCTATGCCTTTCCACCACACTGCCTACCCATGTGCACAGCACTTGGTCTTTTATAAGGTGCTTATCACCTCTGTGACCTCACTGAATCCTGATACCACTTCTAACCCTGGGAGCTGGATATTGTCAGTAAAGTGAAGTGACTTGGCCAAGATGGAACAGTTTGGAAGGGGCAGAGCCAAAACCCGGTGCGTTCTCTCTACCTAAGGGAGGCAGGAGAGCCTCACAGCTGCTTTCATTCTCCAGCCGCATCATGGGCTTTGTGAGCCGGAGCCAGGAGCGCCGGCTGCTGAAGAAGACTGTCTCTGGCACCTTTCTCCTGCGCTTCAGTGAAACATCGGAAGGGGGCATTACCTGCTCCTGGGTGGAACACCAGGATGATGGTCAGCTGCTCTGCCCTGCTGTTCCCACAGCCTCTCCTTCCTGCCCCTCTGCCTGCCGTTGGCTTCCCTGGCTCTGTCCTGAATCCCTCAGCAGGTTTGGGGGTGGACAGCCAAAGTGGGGAGCTCCCAGGCCCAGCCTCTTCCCTCAAGCCTGCCCGTTCCTACATCCTCTCTCCAGATAAGGTGCTCATCTACTCTGTGCAGCCCTTCACCAAGGAGGTGCTGCAGTCACTCCCCCTGACCAAAATCATCCGCCACTACCAGCTGCTCACTGAGGAGAACATCCCCGAGAACCCACTGTGCTTCCTCTACCCCCGAATCCCCCGAGATGAGGCTTTTGGGCGCTACTACCAGGAGACAGGTGAGAATCACTGACATACTTCACTGGCAGATTGCAGGGATTCTCAGGCATCCACAAATCCAACTTCTTCCTTCCAAACGTGGGAAACATACCCAGAGAAGTTAAGGCATCTGTCCATGGACACTGCTAGTTAGTAGGGGGATATGCCTGTCAGGACCATCTGCAGTAGGGGATCTTTGGGCTGTGTGTCCAATCCACTGACCTTCCCCTGGTCCTGTGTGTGTCCCCTACAGTTAATCTTGAGGAACAGAGGAAATACCTGAAACATAGGCTCATTATGGTCTCTAACAGGTGAGCTCTGAACTGTTTGCCCAACTCCCTAACCCTTTTTAGCCGATATAATGACCCGACCCTGCCCATTTCCAGTCACTCTGGCTTTTTCTCCTACTGAGCCACACTCTCTCGCCCTCCAGGATTTTTCCTGCTCTTCTAGTCTCTCTCTCTTCTATTTTTCTGCTGCCATCCTTAAGTTGTCTCCACAGGGGTTCCCTCATAATAATAGTCATAATCGCTGATGTTAATGGACATCTACTTGATGCTAAGCATGGTACTGGATTTTCTTAGAACATTTTTTTCATTTAATCCTTATGAGAACCCATCTGAGTAGGGTATAGTAACAGCCACATGTAATGGTTCATTATGTGCCAGGCACTGAGCTAAATGCTTTGTGTTTGTTTTATTTGTTGAATCTTCAAAATAGTCCTGGGAGGCAGACACTATTTTTACTATTTTCAGCTGAGGAAACTGAGGCTTATGTCTAAAGTATATGGCTAATAAATGATCCAGGTCTGTCGGATTCCAAAGCCCTGCTTTGAACCATCCCACTGCCTCTCAAATATTATTAGGTATTGTTGTTCCCGTTTTACAGATGATAAATCTGAGGTTCAGAGAGGTTAGGTAACTTACCTGACATCACCTGGCTAGTAAATGATAGGATTCAAACTCTGGCAAGCCTGAATCCAAAGCCCGTGCTCTTAAGCGCTCTGCTCTGTTGCCTTCTTAGACTAGAGAGACAGGCTCTGCTTGCTCTGCCATTCCCCACTTCACCTGAACAACTCCCTGCCCCTTTGTCTGCACTGGGGTATCCAGACAGGTGGATGAGCTGCAACAACTGCCGGAGTTTAAGCTGGACCCAGACATGGAATCATCAGAGCTGGACCAAGGGCTGGCACCAGGGCCCGCGCCAGAGCTAGGCCTGGGATTAGAGCAACTGCTGGAGGCAGGGCTGGATCTGGAGCCCATGCTGGACTCCACACTAGCCGCAGTATCAGGAGTGCCAGAGCCAAACCTGGGACCAGAGCTGAAGCTGGAGCCTATTCTAGAGCGTATTTCACAGTCTGAGCCCGAGCCTGATTTGCCCCATGATCTGATGCACTTGAACACTGAGGAAATGGAAAGTAAGTGATAAGGTGGGGCTGGGGAAGAGGGGACACACTGCCTTCCCCACCTCTCCTTCCTCACCCATTACAGAAAAGGCCGAGCTCTAAGTTCCTCACTGGAGAGAGGCTCATTTCCTTGTGGTTCCTTCTATTAGGAAATGGATGTACCTCCCTCTGCCCTGCCTAAGTGCCCCCTCAGGCCTGTCTGGGCCTCTGCTGCCATCCTCCCTCACTTTCCCTGATGGGTTGGGAATTCCTTTCCTAAGATCAGGGCCTGACTTCCTTCTCTGGACTACCTAGTTTTCAGAAACAGTACGAAGATTGAAGAAATCATGCCAAATGGTGACCCGCTGTTGGCTGGCCAGAACACCGAGGATGAGGCGTACATCTTCCACCCCAGCCATTTCTACACGGAAGGGCCCTTGATTCCTTCTGACTACTAGGAACTACATTTCCTCTGTTCCTTCCATATCTTTTGCCTCTCCTACCCCTCAAGTCATGATGTTGCTCTCCAAGGATGGGAAGTCAGGCATGGGGCCCTTCTAAGTTGGGTTAACCCCAGGATTTGGAGTGAGAGGTAAAACCATAATATGGGTAAGGAAGGGGTGCCAGTGAAGCAGAACAAGTGTCGGCCCTGGCTCTAACTAGGATCCTGTAGGCTGCCTGCTGTGCTGGGTGGTGTAGAGGTTGGGGGCAGGCCAGGACAGTTGGGATGTACTTTGAGAGCTCAGGGCAGTGGCTTCTTTCCAGTATAAAAGGATTTCAACATTTTAATAGCTGGTAGGGCTAACCTGGTGCCCACCAGCATTGGCCCTCGGTGAGGAACAGAGATACGTGCTAGGACTCCATGTCTCTCTTCTGGTCCCTCCTGTCTAGGATAACCTTTTCCTTTCTTCTTCCCCTCACTCCTGCCTCAAGTCCTAAATTTCTTCTTTTCCCACTGGGACTGAGGGCGTTCTGCCCCAGCCCACCATGTGAAGTTCCCCTCTGCAGAAGGGAATAGGAGGCAGACCTCCTCGCCTTACCAATCTCCTCCCCTGCCCCCCAAGCTGGCCACACCCATTCCTCCCCTGAAAGTGAGCCTGCCAATCGAATGTGCCTGTGAGGCTTTGTACAATAACTTATTCTGCCTAGTCTTCACTTCCCCAACTCTTAGAAGACGAATCACTCCTGGGGCCAGGGATGGTAGTAGGGTTGCTGGGAATTTAGGAATTGTTTTTTATAGTCTTGGATAGAATTTTGTATTTTTACAGAGGAAGAGAAGCCCTGGGGCTTAGATATTTGTCTATTAAGATATCATCCCCTTTCTTTTGTACAGTATATTGTTTACCTGAAAGGAGGGTTTCTATTCCTTGAGCATAGACCTGGGCAAAGACCAAGTTCCTGGAACTAAAACCCTGAAAGTTTATCATGGGGCTCTGAACAACTTCACACCTTAGCCATTGCCAGAGAACCCCAGGACAACTGCCCTTGCTGTAAGATATGCTTCTAGTATAACTTGAGATGTGAATTCAAGTGAGGTCCTCTACATGTGGCTGTTTCCTGCCTGGTACATCAGAGGAACAGTTCTGGGCAGAAAGAGGCCCTTCTGAGCAGAAGTGGCTAATAAACTTTGTGCTGACCTGGAAATGCTTCCTCTCTGAACTTCTTTACTTCTCTGCTTACAAAGACTAATGTCCTTGGAGACACCAGCAGGCCACGTAGGATTGAAGCCAGCAAATCGTGGCCTGTCTTCCATCCACCCCAATAGGCCCCTCTTGTCATGTTTCTTTTTACCTCCCTGTTGAGAGCAGCTTTTCCTGTCGCTTAGATTTTCCAGGGGGAGCTGTGAGCTATAAGTTGGGGGGAGGGTGAGTAGTTATATAACTAGCCCACTGTCACTCACCTGGTTGGTGGCAAAACCAAGATATAAACCTGGGTCCATCTAACTCCAAAGCCCATGCTTTTTTGATCTTGTGACTCTGGAGAAAAGGAAGGGGAATAGTCACTAGCCCCTTCCCCTGCTTGCTTTCAAAGGCAGCTTAACTCCCCTTGGGTAACCAAATCCCCCACTGAAGGGGCCCACAGATGTCCGTTAAAGGAGAATCCCATTAGTTTGTGAGATTTACCTCCATCTTTCTGGAATGCCCTTTGTGCCCAAAACAGCTCTGACTTTCGATCCTTCAGTGATCGGGACTCCTGTCTTTGGCCAAATACACTCTTGGCCAAGAAAGAAAGAAAGGAGGCACTGGGTCAGGGAGCAAGAGAGGGGCCTCACTTAGGGGCCCCACTTCCTAATCTCAACCCCTTGTAGTCCCATTCAACTTGTTTAGCCATACAGCGATTAAGACCAAAAAGATCCCAGTTACTCTGCACACCAGGGGGTGGTGAGGAAATGTCCCTCTGCACTGTAGCCCTGCAGAGCAGAAGGATGCACATTGTAGTCCCTTGGCCCTATTTTTCCATTCTATTCCTTTTTCCCAACCAAGCCTAGAAATTAGACTCAGATATCCACATAAATAAGTATTTATTGAAAAAGTGCATAATTCAGTATAAATATAATAAATAATCCTCCTCCCCAAACTGCTGCCATGAGGATAAATAATCCCAAATTTTCCCATCCCATCTAATAAATACTCAACCTTTTGCTAGGTCAGCATCAGAAATCAGTCAGTACTGGTAATTTTTCAACATATGCAAGTCCCATTAGAATTAATGGACAAATTAACTTGTTGGCTCGTAGGTGCCTGGGCTGATAGATTCATCTTAGCATTGCTGAGCCATAGATGTGGGTGCCATCCTTAAAGCTGCTGGCTTTAAGGGGTCAGGGTTGCTGCTCCATGGGCAAAGACCCGGGCAGCTACAGCCACAAAGGCCTGGAGGCTGCGAAGGATCTTGGGGCGGAGAAGGAGGCGCTGCCACGGCTGGCTGGGACTGGGGCTTGGAATCTGCTCAGTCTCCCAGTGGTGACCCTCAGGCTGCAAAGACACAGGACACAATCAGAGAGGACTCTAGATCCTTCACCCCTAGTCCCTGTCTCTGATCCCTGCAAGCCCCCATCCTCCAGGCCCCTAGTTCATACCTGCAAGAGTTGCCTGAGGCCCAGGAGGGAGGCGTGAAGCTGGTCCACAGGGCCATTGGGGAGTAGAGAAGGCTCCCCTGTGAAAATGTCTGAGCCCAGCAGCTTCTCGTAAAAAACCAGGCCCTGGTGGATCCTTTGCAAGCAGGGCTGGGGAGAGAAGAAAGCCGTGAAAGAAAATGGATACCCTCTTCCTACTCCATTCACTGAAGACCCACCCAGTTCTTTGCCATTCTTAGATGCTGCCATGGTCTGAATGGTTGTGTCCCCACAAAATTCCTATGTTGAAATCCTAACCCCCAATGTGATCCTATTAGGAGGTGGGATCTTTGGGGGTGATTAGGTCATGAGGGTGGGGCCCTCGTGAATGAGATAGGTGCTCTTATAAAAGAGATCCACAGAGCTCCCTAGCCCCTTCTGACACCTGAGGATACAATGAGAAGTCTGCAGCTGGGAAGAGGGCCCTCACCCAACACGCTGGCACCCTCATCTCAGACTTCCAGCTTCTAGAACTGTGAGAAATAAATTTCTGTTGTTTATAAGCTGTCCATTCTATGGCAGGCCAAACGGACAAGGACAGATACAACTTTTACTAATTTACCATGGTGCCTAGCTATATCTCCAGCCCCTATTTCCAGCCTCATCTTAGTACCTGACTGTTGTCCCTGAGTCCTTCAGGATCACAGCCATCCTCGCACTGGATATGGGGGACATCATTTGTAGTCTCAGCATCTCCCTCTTCTCTTGGTAGATCCTGGAATGGAGCAGGGGGTAGGAAGAGTGAAGAAATAAGATAAATACTTTTGAACCCCACCTGGACCCTCAAGCCCATGACACTCCCAGGAACCCCACTCTCCTGTCCTCTCTCACTCCCTGATGGCCTTCAACCCTCCAGCTTCCACCAAGGCCAAAGTCTTCCAGTGCAGCCTTGGAGGGCTTGGATAGAGTCCTGCTTGGTCCCAGAGGCTGCCACTCACCACATGTCCCATTGGTGGATGTGCACTCCAGGCCAGCGTACAGAGCTTCTGTGAGAGCTGCTGGCACTGAGCCCAGGCAGGGCTACTGCCTCCAGGCACAGCCCGGGCCTGAGCAGTCCGGGGCCACAGGAGCAGCAGCAGCAGCAACACAGCTCTGCTCCCCAGCATCTTGCTGCCTGCTTCTCAAACCTGGCTGGCTCTGTGCCTTGCACCAGTCAGTCCCTGTGGAATCTCTGCCCACTTCCCCTTGCTCTCAGCCTGATTCTGTTCTGTGAGCTCTGGTTTGGTTCCTTCTGTTGTTCACCTCCAGTTTCTCAGCTGCTTCCTGTTGTTTTTCTCCCTTGTCTCTGAGTCTCTTTTTAAGGTCCCTGCATTGTAAGACACGCCCTTTATACCAGCAGGTGACTCACAGCAGGTGGGATTCCCCTCCCTACATCATCCCCCTCCGTGGGGAGCCCAGGTATGCAGCCTCAGTTCCAGGGGAAATGAGTCGTGTGGTTGCTGTGGCTGGAGGCCTGGGATGGGACAGTATGTGTAATGCTCTCCAGGAATGGCTGTGGAAGGGGGTGGGGGTGGGAGTAATGAATATTTAAATGATCTTAGTCTCAAGTTCCTTCCTCTTTAACCTTTCCCTCATCTTTTTGCCTCTCAAAGCTAGCCCCCCACCCCAGTTTCCTCACCTCTTCCTGCCTGAGGAAACACCAAAACAGAAGCATCCATTTATCTCCCAATAGGATAGCAGACTCAGTTTGGAAAGAAGTTTGATTCTCACCTGATGCCTTCTATCTAAGAATAAGGGGGCTTCTTTTTTCCACTGGGAACAGTGTCATTTTCACCGGGAGAGAATGGTCTCAAAGGCACTTTGTGAACAGGGAAGCCATACAAGTGCTGTGTAAAGTATTATTGCTCCCCCACTTCAGGCCTCTCTGTGGACACTAGGAAGGCTGTTGGAGGGAGACAGTTGTTGCTAAGAATCATCTGATTCCTCAACCTTAGTGGCCCAGAGTTTCAAAGGCTCTGTGGAATGCAGGTGATGGTTCTTTTGAGACAGTTTAAGCAAGGGCTAGAAATCCAATTTACATATTCCAGTACCCAACCCCTACCCCATGGCTAGGAAGTCCAGGTAGTCAAAGGTGCACAGTGTCAGTGACCCCAGCCGGTCCTTCAGCCTGTTGCATCCACGGGTAAAATCCACTGACACTGATTTCATCACCCTCCCTGATGCAACATCCAGTGAAACAACTGAGAGTGTGAGGTTGGGTGTGGGAGTGGAGGGTGGTCCAAATCCGGGACTGCCCCAACCCCAGTGGAGGGTCCCAGAACAATGTGGACGTCAGAATGAGGCCATGGGTGACCACACAGATGGCTCCCAAAGCCTCCCCAAGGGGTTGACTTTTCTTCTGAGAAAATGACCCTTGATAGAGGTCTTCCTTCCCTTAGAACTCTTCACAGCTGCCCAATGAAACTTCTGATTCAAATACTATGACTCCGTGATAAATCCACCCTTTGGATAAAACATTTCCAGCATCGGAGAGGTTATCTCAGTTTGAGTGAGAAATGGTTTGCCTCTCCCTACATATGGACTCAAATGGAACAAGGAACTGGGGGAGCGGGCGGGCAGGGGAGCTCACCTCAGTTGTGTATAATGTCTCCTATGCTCTTCCCACTTCTGGTCCCCATCTGGGAGTCCTAAATGATAGGAGTTGACAGGTGAAAAGGAGGAGGAGGAAGTGGAGCCCTGGGGGATGGGATGAGAGGGACAAGGGTGAGCTGGAGACACGAGGCTCTGCCGCTTTGTTTCACTTCCTGGTGCTTCAGGAGTTGAATCGGAAGCAAGATTGGTGGGGTGATTGTGGGACTGCTGTGTGGCAGGAACTACTTCCAGGACTAGATCTGCCCTGATGCTGCAAGGAGCCCTTGACGTCAGCAGGGCCTCAACCGTTATGCAAATCATGTTCACAAGACACTCCCAGGCAGGCCTTTCCTGTTGGATGTCCAGACTCCAAATGCAGTTGAAGTTCCCCCAGATGGTTAATAATGATGGCTAATATATATCCAACTCTCACTTTATGCCAAGTACTTGGTCTAAGCACTTTTCATGTATTAACCCATCTAATTCTCACAACAACCCAGTGAGGTAGGTACTATTTTTGGCCCCACATTTTCAGAGGAGGATACTGAGGTGCAGAGAAGTAACTTGCCCAAGATCAGAGAGCTACTAACTGGCCAGAATACCAGTGCAGACCATCTGGCTTCAGATCCTGCATTTTCAATCATTCCATTATATTGGACACTGTGAGAAGACAGAGCATCTTTATAAAGTAGCTCTTTTAGCCCAGGTATCTCTGGGTAGCTGAAGCCCTGTAATTCTCATGGGTCTATAAAGTCTATCTCAATTTGAGACCTCAATATGGAAATTTCTCAAAGTATAGGTAACCATCTAGATGCCTCAGCACCCATCTTTTTGCAAGATTTCAAATCTAGGGCCCTGTGAAGTCAGATTAGTTTGAGAGACTCTCTGAGTTGAGGTGGTGTTTTTCTCTCGGACTATGACCTCTGGCTGAGTCCTGGAAGTCTAAATCCTGAGGTCTTTTTATGAAGGCCTATTTAACATCCTTCACTGAGAGAGAAATGCTTTAAGACTGTATCCTCTGTGAGGAATTCCTTCCACCAGAGAGGCCCGCTGTGTGGCCTTTAGAAACTGAGCTAAAGTGCCCCAAGAAATTTCACAACCTGGCCCCATTCCAAAGCAGTTCAAGCTCAGAGTCAGGCCCCAAGAATCCCTCTGAATAACTGCTGACGCTAAATCTGTAACAGTTTGAGGAAGGCAAATGTCTTAATTTGCCGTGCTCATGCCCCTCTGAGAGGTAATGTCCAGTTCCAAGAGGCAGGGGAATTTGATGGCTGAAGGGTCCTGTTCCCTGGGAATATTGCCGGGGCCTCTGGGGAGGGAATCATCACAGATGGGAGTTTCAGATGGACGCCTTTAGAATCCTAGAATATGCAGCTACTGAGGCGACTTAGGAGCCTGCCTCCCGCTTCCTTTTTTTCTCTCCCGTATCTGGAAATGATAGGAAATGCCAGCGAGTTTCGGGGGCAACAGGGGCGGAGGTGGCGGAGTAGCTCACAAGAGCACCGCGGGAAGAGGGGGTGGACCGACCCATGCCGGGAATACCCAACAGTCGAGTCCCAGTGCTTTGCCCTGGGTGCTCCTTATTCTACAGTTTCTAAAGTTACAGAGAGCACAAAATTCTGTTTCCAAGTCTGGCGCTCTCTAATTTTGTTCACAGAAGCCTTAAAAGAGAAGCGGTTACTCTTCGCGACGCCAAAGGTCCAGGGTCTAACTGCATTTGTCCTCATCGGCGTTCCGTAACCCTTGCTTTCGCCCAGCCCCTGCGTCACACGTCTTCCCGCGGAGCCGGCCGTAGCTGGCTCCTTCTGATTGGCTGTGGCGAGCCCCAAACCCTTCCTGATTGGAAGCTGCGACTGGGCGCCCGCTGTTCTTTCCGCCGTAGGGTTAGGTTGAGCCTGAGGCGCGGGGGAGAATTGGGGAAACTGGAATTTCCCGCGGAGCTGACGGCGTTTGCTCTCCCCCTACTCGTTTTAATTCCACGCGCTCCAAAATATCCGCCATGGAGAAATCTTGGTAATGACCCAATCCCCGTAAGCATCCCAGGAACACATCTGACCCCTGCCCTAATCCCTCCCCTCCCGGCCGCAGGGGGAGAATTCTGGGTAATTGATTTCTCTGGTTCCCCCAGAGAATTCTGGGTAACTAGCCATTTCCATCACATCCCTCTACCCCCGCCCCAATTGTGGGTAACTGGCCATTCTTATTTCCCCTTAGAGAATCCTGGGTAACGTTGCGGAGGATTCTGGGAAACTGACTTCTCTTGTTCTCACCTACAAACCCCCCACCCCCACTCCTAATTTTGGGAAACAAGCACCTTAGGCCCCTCTACCTAACTCCTACCCCCGCACTTGCTGCTCCTTCCACTGATAGTTCTGGGATGAACCAGGCAAGTGAGCAGGCCTTAAGGGAGGTTAGATAGTGGGATGGTGGGGAGTACAGAGGGCCTAGAGGAGAAAAGGAAGGGACAACACTTTTCTACCCCACTGCCCATCCCTTTCCTGCCTGTTTCATCCCCTGCTTGGCGTTCTCTCATCTTCTCCTTGCCTCATCTCCCTCCTGCCGGTATAACCTAGAACACACTAAATACAAGTACCCCTGACTCAGCTCCCTCTTTCCCTTTGCAGGCCAGGATGTCCATTGTAGGCCCACTGGTGCCGTCCTGCTGAAGTTTGGGTCAGGCATCTAAAGGGGCTGTGGCAAGGCAGGGTGTGACACAGGTCTAATCTGCTGCCATCGTCATCATGAACTTTGAGGGTCTGGACCCTGGACTAGCAGAGTATGCCCCGGCCATGCATTCTGCCTTGGACCCTGTCCTGGATGCCCACCTGAACCCAAGTCTACTACAGAATGTGGAGCTGGACCCGGAGGGAGTGGCCTTGGAGGCGCTTCCTGTCCAGGAGTCAGTGCATATAATGGAAGGTGTCTACTCTGAATTGCACAGTGTGGTGGCTGAAGTGGGTGTGCCTGTCTCCGTCTCCCACTTTGACTTGCACGAGGAGATGCTGTGGGTGGGAAGCCATGGGGTAAGAACTGTACCCCTTTGTAAGGCCTGAAAGAAGATGTTGGAGGTCTTTTATCTGGTTTTAGCCCAAGGACAGCTATTTCTCAGGGAGCCTGAACTGAGTTGAGGTGATGAGAGTTAGCTGGGTCACTAAGTCAAACCAAGAGGAGGGGAGTGGAGGAAGAAAATGGGAGTCATAGGGTCCAGGGATGAGTTGCATAGGTGTTCTTTTTTTCAGAAGGCATCCCGTTTCTACTACAGTTTGCCCATTCATGCTTTGTTTAATCTTGATAACTGTACCCATTAGGTAGTCTGTAGCCATCCAAATCCAGTCTTTAATGCCCTCTTCTCTTTTCCATTTTTATAATTATAGAATGTTTAATGCATGTTTTTGCATATCTTACATGGAATAATTTTGTCTTCTCTGGCTGATTTTAACCTCTCTGAGAGCAGTTATCAATGTTAATTTTTTAAAATGTGTATCCATATTGCCAGTATGCTAGGAAACTGGAAGCTTTTGTAAGAAATAACATGCCATTCTGGTTTTACTAATTTACCTTTGATAGTACATGACTTGTTTCTCTGTTAGAAAGTGAATTTTTTTGATAATACATTCATTGAGTAGGCAGTGTCTACTGCCATGCTAGGCCCAGGAATAAAACTGACTAAACATAATCCTTGCCCTCAAAGACTTCACAGGACAACGAGGAAAAAAGACATATAAACCGGTAATTTCATGGTATGTTAGAAGAAACTAAACTCTTTAACTTATTAATTGTGAATTTAGGTTATAAACTACTAAGTGCCAGTGTGAAAATATGTACTGGGTGCTGATGAACATGGAGGAGGGTCAGAGGGCCTCAAGAAGGAAGTGACACCTGAACTGAGTCTTGAGAGATGAGTAGGAGTCAGGTAAAGAATAGGGAACAATGCTGTGTTGGCAAAAGCAACAGGATAAACAGATTCCCAAGATGTTACATAGCTTGGTGATTGGAGAGTGCAGGAACTACAAGCAATTAGGACTGGAAGCTGAAGCTGAAGCGTTAGACATTTCTTCATTCAACCAGTGTTTTTCGAGCACCTGCCAGGTGCCAGACCTTGCTCTGTGTTCTAGGTTTGTAATAAGCATTAAAAAAGGCAGCAAAAATACATTTATAATATACCAGGTGTTACCTTAAAAAAATCAGGTAGAATAAGGGGGTTGAGGTAATGAAGGCTGGGAGCTGTTGTTATTTTAGATAGTTGTTCAGGGAAGGTCTCTCTGATAAAGTCACACTTGAGTAGAGACCTGGATGCAGGCCAAGGTGTCCATTCCTTTTTTTTTTTTTTTTGAGGAAGATTAGCCCTGAGCTAATATCTGCTGCCAATCCTCCTCTTTTTGCTGACGAAGACTGGCCCTGAGCTAACATCTGTGCCCATCTTCCTCTACTTTATATGTGGGATGCCTCCCACAGCATGGCTTGCCAAGCGGTGCCATGTCCACACCCGGGATGCAAACTGGCAAACCCCAGGCTGCCGAAGCGGAACATGGGCACTTAACTGCTGTGCCACCAGGGCAGCCCCCAAGATGTCCATTCTAAAAGGGAGGGAAGGATCTGTGCAGATATCTGGGAGAAGAACATTCTAGAAAAATCTCATATGCTACATTAAAAGAGCTTAGACTTGATCCTTCAGGCCACTGAAGATTTTTATCCACAGTGACAAGGTCCAGTTTGCATCTTAGGTGGAGTGCTGAGGTAGCATTATAGAGTTTGATTTAAGGGGGACAGGGCAGGACTCAGTGAGATCAGTTTGTAGGCTATTGTAGTAGTTCACATAAAATAGGAAGGCTTGAATGAAGCCCTGTAGATATGTGTACATGAGAACACATTTGAGAAACATTTAGGAAGTAAAATAAACAAGACTTAAGTTGACTACCGGTAACTTAGTCCACTGGGTAGATCATGGTATCATAGGGAATACAGTTAAGAAGAATTGAAACGGAGTAAAAATGGTGAATTTAATTTAGGATGTAATGAGTTTGAGGTTCTCATGGGATGTCTAAGGAGAGATGTTTAGTAGGTGTTTGGATGTGTTAGTCTGAAGCTTGAGCTAGTGTTCTGGGCTAAGGAAAGAAATTAGGATTCATCAGCTTTAGGATGAATGATTAAAACCTTAAGAGTGGATAAGACTGCCTAGGAAGACCAGCAGCGTGAGAAGATAGTGGGCTGGGAATAGCCATGTGTCAAGAGTGGTCAGAAGGGGAGCACATAAGGAGAAAGTATGAGCTCAGAGTCAGGAGAGAAACCAGGAGTGAATGATGTCATAGGAGCCAGGGGTGGAATGAGTTTCGCATTCTCTCTATTCCAGCCTGTGACCCACAGGACACATTTCCCAGATGTCTAGTAGAGATTAAGACTTGACTGTGGAACATAAGAAAGCCAGCTGGCCAGTGAAGGACTGGACCCACTTTTTTTTTTTTTTTGAGGAAGATTAGCCCAGAGCTAACTACTGGCAATCCTTTTTTTTCTGAGGAAGGCTGGCCCTGAGCTAACATCCGTGCCCATCTTCCTCTACTTTATACGTGGAATGCCTACCACAGCATGGCTTGCCAAGCAGTGCCATGTCTGCACCCGGGATCCAAACCGGCGAACCCTGGGCCGCCGAGAAGCAGAACATGCGAACTTAACTGCTGTGCTACCGGGCTGGCCCATGGACCCACATTCTTGATCTTCTGAACACAGTTCTAACCAACTGAGCCATTAGTTATTCAGCAGGGTCATTGTGAGGATAAAATGAGGTAGAATTTACAAAAATACTTTGTAAAGCATTAAACAAACTTGAGATAGTATTATCACTGTCTTTATCACTAATATTGGTCCCTGACCTTATGCCTTAGTTGCTGCTAGCCAGAAAGGCCAGGCAAGAAGGAGAAAAGCTGAGCAACATCCAGTTCCTGACTTGCATCTGGGATGGCCCTGCCCCTCCACTCAGGGTGTATCTCATCTTTTTGCTCCCTACAGGGCCATGCCACTTCATTTTTTGGTCCAGCCTTGGAGCGCTACTCATCCTTTCAGGTCAATGGCAGTGATGACATTCGGCAGATCCAGAGCCTGGAGAATGGTATTCTTTTTCTCACCAAGAACAACCTCAAGTATATGGCCCGTGGGGGCCTCATTATATTTGATTACCTGTAAGTGGCTTCTCAGCTCTGGACTGGGAAAGAGGGTCCCTCATAGGGTGGGAAGGCTAAAGGATTGGAAGTTTTTTGAGACCCCAGCCCCTTAGCCTCTCCTCTCCCCCGCAGGCTGGATGAGAGTGAGGATATGCACAGTCTTCTGCTGACTGACAGCAGCACTCTGCTCGTTGGTGGGCTACAGAACCACATATTGGAGATTGACCTTAACACTGTCCAGGAGACTCAGAAGGTACAAGCCTCGGGCAGGAAAAACCCAGGCAGGGCCTGAGGTTATGGGGGGGTAAGGATATACCTGGGCTGGGAACATGCCTGACTGGAACGTGCGTGTGACCTTTCTGTTCCTTTAGTCTGTGGGAAGAATCATTCTCACCGGTTTTTTCTGCTTCCCTCCCCAGTATGCAGTCGAGACACCTGGAGTCACCATCATGAGACAGACAAATCGCTTCTTCTTCTGTGGTCATACATCTGGCAAGGTGGCTAAGTTCCATTTTTCCTCCCACCACGGGACCCTGTCTCACTGATGTGTGATTGCGCTCTGCTATTTCCTCAATTCTGAGGCTGGAGTTGGAGGGATGGGAGGAGTGAGTTGAGTTCCTCCTCAGCCGTGTTATGCTATGAGATTACCTTTCAACCTGATGTTTTCTGTTGTAACTAGGTACCTTAGAGACAAAAAAGTAAACAAGAGTTCTCTTTGGGGTCCCTTCCAGCTCTGGGCTTCTCTTTTTGCCTTTTCTGTGCTTTAATTGCCCATATCCTGGAGTGTTAGTTCTTTTGGTAGCAGACTCACAGGGTTAGGTAGGTGGCAGGTACTCTTCCTAATAACAGTGTTGGCAGATAACCAAGTTATCTCTTCTTCAGGTTTCCCTGCGAGACCTCCGTACTTTTAAGGTGGAGCATGAGTTTGATGCTTTCTCAGGGAGTCTGTCAGATTTTGATGTACATGGCAACCTGTTGGCTGCCTGCGGCTTCTCCAGCCGCCTCACCGGCCTGGCCTGCGACCGTTTCCTCAAGGTGTATGATCTGCGCATGATGCGTGCCATCACACCACTTCAAGTACATGTGGATCCTGCCTTCTTGCGCTTCATCCCTACATATACTTCTCGTCTTGCTATCATCTCTCAGTCAGGTATGAAGGGGATGGAGGATGGGGTAGGAGGGGCAGATGAGGGAAGGGAAACTAGGCGCCAGAAGGTGTATACTCCCAGGAATCTGTTGGGGGGGAAAAGTAACCTTTCAGTGAGGGCTCAGATTCTCTCTTAGGTTTGGTCAGAGATTAGATCTTCTGTTTTCTCCCTGGGTGTGAACAACACAGAAAAAGATAAAGGTGGAGCAGGCAGTACAACTTCAGAACTGCCCTTTGCTGGGTAGGAGACCTACCTGGGGTTTTTAGAAAGGCATCAGATGGTGTTCTCTCCATCTCTAGGCATGGATTTGGAGCCCGTCTTTCCTTGATACCAGGCTAAGAGGGTTGGAAGGGCATAAAAGGACGGCTCCCTTTCAACTTCCAGGGCTCACTGGGCTTCCTCTTCCCTCCTAGGGCAGTGCCAGTTTTGTGAGCCCACAGGCCTGGCCAACCCAGCAGACATCTTTCATGTGAATCCTGTGGGGCCTCTGCTAATGACATTTGATGTGTCAGCCAGCAAGCAGGCCCTGGCCTTTGGGGATTCTGAGGGCTGTGTGCACCTCTGGACTGATTCCCCTGAGCCTTCCTTTAACCCCTACTCCCGTGAGACTGAGTTTGCTTTGCCCTGTCTCGTGGACTCACTGCCTCCTCTGGACTGGAGCCAGGACTTGCTGCCTCTTTCCCTCATCCCTGTCCCACTCACCACCGACACACTTCTCTCTGACTGGCCTGCTGCCAACTCCGCTCCAGCTCCCAGGTTGTACCTCCCATCTGGGCCAAGAGGAGGGAGGGGGAAAGGGCCAAGATGCCAGGATTCTCTGCGGGCCCTGTCATTATTCTATGTCTGTCCTGATTTTTGTCTCCCTTCAGTATTCTCTTTTTTTCTGACCTCTTGGGGAGTTGGGATTGGATGGGCAGACACAACAGCCTTCAAGCCCCTAGAACTAAATCAAATTGCAGGCGAGCACCCCCTGTGGATGCAGAGATTCTGCGCACCATGAAGAAAGTGGGCTTCATTGGCTATGCCCCCAACCCCCGCACCAGGCTGCGCAATCAGGTATGTTCAGAGGGGAGAGGGTCAGCCCCCACCCCAAACCATTGGCATTTCTCCTGGCTCGTTCCTTCACTAGCCTTCAGTAGTTTTTGTTTTCAGTTAGTCAGTAAAGGTTTTTTCCAGGCCTCCTTAGTTGAAGATACTATGCTAGGTGTTAGGGAGGATTCAGAGACATAGAAGATAGGGTCCTTGGTCTTAAGAAGTTTAATGTTTGGTTGGTGAAGATAAGACCTGTCCATAACAGAAATTATTTATTTTCTATTATTAAATGCTAAAGGAATGTTAGAAGCATTCAGTGGCAGAGCTGTTTGGAGGGAAAATGTTACTCTGGGCTGGAGTGATTGGGGGAGGCACACTGAAAGGGGTGGATATTGAGCTGGAAAGGGGGAGTATATTCAAGATGAGAGATCAGTGTTAGCAAAGGTCTCAGGAAGCATGACTGCAAAAGAAGTGTCTGACGGGGACTATGATTCTGTCAGTCTGGCTGGAGGGGCTGTTAGCACTGGGAAATAGTGAGAGATTAAGGTTGGAAAAGGCCCTGTTCTGAAACCTCGAAAGCCAGTGTATAGTAGAAGTGATGCACTGAAGGGGCATTCTGGGATGGTTAGTTAGGTAGCGGTATGCTGGACAGAGTGTGTGTGGAAGCCACCACAGTTGTCCAGCTGTGATAAGGTAGGGTGACACCCATGCGAATAAAAAGGAAGGAGTGGATGCTGGAAACCCTATGAAATTAGAAGGTTCAGGACTTGCTGGCTGTTTCAGTGTTGGGATAAAGGTAGGGGAAAACCAAAGAGGATTAAGGCATCCAACAAGTTTACCTCTTTTTTTAAAATTCTAGATTCCTTACCGACTCAAGGAGTCAGACAGTGAATTTGACAGCTTCAGCCAGGTCACTGAGTCACCAATAGGGCGGGAAGAGGAGCCACATCTCCACATGGTCTCTAAGAAATACCGCAAGGTGCTGGGGGATACCAGCGGGAGCCCTCTGGGATATGGGGAAAGGTTCCGGGGAAGGTGGTCATATGAGAGAGAATTGAAGGACTCAGGAGGGAGGTTTTGGAGAACGTTATAACTACTGCAGAGATTTAGGGGACTCCGAGGCTGTCTTCATCTTGCTCAGACTATTTCTGCGTCAGGTGACCATCAAATACTCGAAGCTGGGGCTGGAGGACTTTGACTTCAAACACTACAATAAGACCCTGTTTGCTGGATTAGAGCCCCACATCCCCAATGCCTACTGTAACTGCATGATCCAGGTAAGCGTAGGTGTTCCTGCGACTTGGACGTGTTCCAGGTTTCTCCAACAAGCCCACTTTACCCTGGCCTCCTACCATTCTTTCTTGCCCCACAGTCTTCACGTCTCCTCTCTGAGCTCCACTTCAGTGGACTCCTGCTTTTTATTCTCCACTGGTTCACTTAAGCTTCCCTTCTCTCTTCCTCCCTGTACCAGTTGCCTGCCTCACTTTTCCTGCTCTTCCCTCCAGGTGCTCTACTTCCTGGAGCCTGTGCGCTGTCTAATCCAGAACCACCTTTGCCAAAAGGAGTTTTGCCTAGCATGTGAGCTGGGCTTCCTCTTCCACATGTTGGATCTCTCCCGAGGTGACCCCTGTCAGGTCAGTACCTGGAGACCTGGGACAATAAAAGGGGAAGGGAGGTGGACTGTAGGCAGGGACATCACTGTGCAAATGGCCACAAAAGAGAAAAATAACCCCTTTCCACAACACGCTTTCTGGATTCCAGGGCAGTAATTTTCTTCGGGCATTCCGCACCATTCCTGAGGCCTCAGCCCTTGGTCTGATCCTGGCTGACTCAGATGAGGCTTCAGGCAAGGGCAACCTGGCCAGGCTCATTCAGAGGTGGAATCGCTTCATTCTCACTCAGCTGCATCAGGATATGCAAGAGCTGGAAGTACCCCAGGCTTATCGAGGTGCTGGAGGCAGGTATGGAATCGGGACAGGAATAGTGAAAGCCACCATGACAGGCCCCTCTGTGACTTAAAGGATCTTCTGACTCCCTCAGTGTGCATGTGTCACCCTCTCCACTCTTAGCAGCTTTTGCTCTTCGGGGGACTCTGTCATTGGGCAGCTGTTCAGCTGTGAGATGGAGAACTGCAGCCTCTGCCGCTGTGGCAGTGAGACCGTGCGAGCCTCATCCACCCTGCTCTTCACGCTCTCCTACCCTGAGGGTAGCAACAGTGGTATACCCTGCAGCTGGGTTGGGAAGGCTCCCCCAAATGTCCTGTAACATCAAGGAGAGGGTGTTGGGGGGCTAAGGGTGGGTATAAGGGAGAACCTGGAGTGAAGCATCTAGTTTCCCCTCAGATAAAACTGGGAAGAACTGTGACTTTGCTCAGGTGCTGAAGCGAAGCATCTGCCTGGAGCAGAATACACAGGCCTGGTGTGACAACTGTGAAAAGTACCAGCCCACGGTGAGTGGGCTCTTGCACTGGACTCGAGTACTGCCGTGTGGGGGACTCAGCCATGGTCTCATGTGGGGCTGGCTGTGTCAGCACTGCCATCCAGGGCTCTATAGGGAATGGGAAGAATCCCAACTTGAGGATGCAGGTCCAGGTTTCACAGTTCCTGTCCAAGTTTCTCTCCCTGTAGCCCCCTGCCATTCCTTGTTTGTTTTATCTTCTCAGATTCAGACCCGCAACATCCGCCATCTGCCAGATATTCTTGTCATCAATTGTGAGGTGAACAGCCTGAAAGAAGCTGATTTCTGGAGAGTGCAGGCTGAGGTAAAGACCGGGGCTGGAAACAGGGCGTTAGGAGTACTTTCTAGTTTTCTCCCTCTTCTAACTTCCATATGTGATTATTCATGTTCCTGGGGAATTGGATATTTTCCCCTTTGTGTTCAGGTTGCCTTCAAGATGGCAATAAAGAAGCGTGGTGGGGAAATCTCCAAGAATAAAGAGTTTGCTTTGGCTGATTGGTAGGTACTGTCTTGGGAATGGTCAAAGGATTGAACTACCCAGTGGCTCCTCTTGTCACTGGCTAGATCTCCTCAGAACAAATTTCCGATTCTCCTGTCCTGATAGGAAGGAACTAGGGAGTCCAGAGGGCATGCTGATGTGTCCCTCCATTGAGGAGTTGAAGAATGTCTGGCTTCCTTTCTCCATTCGCATGAAGATGACCAAGAACAAAGGGCTGGATGTTTGCAATTGGACTGATGGGGATGAGATGCAGGTTGTTGAAAAACTGGGAAAAGGAAGGGGAATAAGGGAGAGAAGGTTGGGGCAGAAGCAGGACAGGGGGAAGGCGGAAGTTAGTATAGGGAAAAGAAAAGGATTAAGGCCTAGTATTTACTAGTTGTGGGCTCTTCCAGAGTGACTCAGTTCAGTGTTGGGAGCCATAGATGGGTTAGGATGGAGATAACCCACCCTGGTCCCCTATCCCCATACCCCAAACTCCCTGTCCTCTGTCCCCATTCCCCATCCTTCCCCATCCTTAAACTTAGCTTAGCAGCCTGGGTACCCCCCTCACAGTGGGGCCCAGCCAGGGCAGAGGAGGAGCATGGTGTCTATGTGTATGACCTGATGGCTACTGTGGTACACATCCTGGACTCACGCACAGGGGGCAGCCTGGTGGCTCACATTAAAGTCGGAGAGACCTACCACCAGCGCAAGGAGGTGAGTGAGGTAATACAGGGCATGGATGCTGCTAGTGGTGGCCATGATGGAGTCCCAGATCTGTCCTTATCTTGAGTCTGAGCCAGAGTGGTCCAGCCATCACTTTGGCATCAGTCTTTCTCTATTATCTCCACAGGGCGTTACCCACCAGCAGTGGTATCTCTTCAATGACTTTCTTATTGAACCTATTGATAAGGTTAGTTGTAACACATTCCATTCTTTCAATCTCCCCCTTTACTGAGCATCCTCATCCTCAGTGCCCTAGAGAATGCCAGGCAGATTTAGGAGGGAAGGATGGGTCCTCAAGAATAAAAAGCATTAGTAAAACTAAAAGTAGTGCCTGAGTCTTGTCTTCTGTCTGACTTGGAGAAAAGGAAAAAGAGACATATACATAGGCCATTAAGTGCTTTTTCTTTTATAGCATGAAGCTGTGCAGTTTGACATGAATTGGAAAGTGCCTGCTATCCTTTATTACATCAAAAGGAATCTTAATTCCAAATACAACCTAAACAGTAAGTGGTACAGAGTAGAACCAAGGGTGTGGGCAGTTGAGACTGGTCTTCATGAAGAGATCTGGGAAATAGCTTGTTAAGATTAGGATCGGTAACCAGTGTTAATATTTTCAGATATACTAAAGAGATTCCTCCTCATCAGGCCTTAAATCTAGAAGGTGGAGATCCTGAGGGTGTAGTGGGGAAGAGGTGATGGGGGAAGTCTGATCAAAGTGGCTAAGGGTATGATTTTGAGTCTAATCATCCTTATCTCCAAGTGAAGATCTTCTTTTGGAGATGAGCTCCTTATTAAGTCCCTTTTTGGTGCCTTTAAACCATAGTTTCTCTGCAACTTTATTTTTCTGGATTTTCTAAGCTAAAGTCCGAAGTGGAAATCTCATTCTTTCCTCTCTTGACTCTCGTTTTTTCCTAGAACATCTCTTTTTTTTATTTTTTGGGTTTTTTAAAGATTTTTTATTTTCCTTTTTCTCCCCAAAGCCCCCTGATACATAGTTGTGCATTTTTAGTTGTGGGTCCTTCTGGTTGTGGCATGTGGGATGCCACCTCATCGTGGCCTAAGTGGTGCCATGTCCATGCCCAGGATCCCAACCAGCAAAACCCTGGGCTGCTGCAGTAGAGTGCATGAACTTAACCACTTGGCCACGGGGCTGGCCCCCCTAGAATATCTCTTGATAATTTTATGATTTGACCTTTCCATCTACCTACTCTGTTCATTAGACATGATCTTTTTACTCACATGCTTTGATTATTGAAGAATCATTGCGTAGCCCGGTCTCTCGTCAGCCACCTTGGGCTTCCCTCCCCTAGTCACTTCCTATCCCCAGCCATCTGTCTTCTGGATTCTCCTTCCAGTCAAGAATCCTATTGAGGCAAGTGTTCTGCTAGCTGAAGCCTCACTAGCACGGAAGCAGCGGAAAACACATACTACCTTCATTCCACTGATGTTGAATGAGATGCCACAGGTCGGGGACCTGGTGGGCCTGGATGCTGAGTTTGTCACCCTTAATGAGGTAACCCAGATCAAAGTGCGGGGTGTTGGGACAGAACTCTGGGGATATTAGGAGTCATAAACATTTCTCTGATTTCCTTATTAACTCTTCTCGTGTAGGAGGAAGCAGAGTTGCGCAGTGATGGCACTAAGTCTACCATCAAACCAAGCCAGATGTCAGTAGCGAGGATTACCTGTGTTCGGGGCCAGGGACCCAATGAGGGTATCCCCTTCATTGATGACTACATCTCAACCCAGGAGCAGGTATTAGGCTATGGAGGTGCAAGTGAGACAGACTCTGTGCTTATTAGAGTGCTCTAGAACCCAGGGAAGAGTAGTGGGGGGAGACTCTGCACCTTGCTTTCTAGACAACTTGTCCTTTTCTCTATCCCTAGGTGGTAGATTACTTGACTCAATACTCGGGGATAAAGCCAGGAGACCTCGATGCCAAGATTTCCTCTAAGCACCTCACAACTCTCAAGTCTACCTACTTAAAGCTTCGTTTTCTTATAGACATTGGAGTCAAGTTTGTGGGTCATGGTCTGCAGAAGGACTTCCGGGTCATCAACCTCATGGTTTGGGCAATACTCTTTTAAGAGTCTTCTTTGAGCATGGGCCCCCAGGGTATACATTGTGCTTTGGAGAATGGGAAATTATGGATCCCCTACCTTCAGTTTCCCCTCTTTTATCCCTGCCAGGTGCCCAAGGATCAAGTCCTTGACACTGTCTATTTGTTTCACATGCCCCGAAAACGAATGATTTCCCTGCGATTCCTTGCTTGGTACTTTCTGGGTGAGTTGCTCCACCTTGTAGGCCCTTATGGTACTCATTAAGAGCAGGAAAAAGTGTTGGAGGGGCCAAGGGGAGTAGAAAGGACCCTGAGTTAGTGGTGAGAGTTACTGATGGACTTAATTAGTTTCAATATCCCTTCTGTACACTAGGGATGGTGTTTGGCTCTTTCCCTTAAGGGCAGCCAGGTTTTTTACTGTTGTTTATTGGGAGTTTAGGATGTGAGTAGGGGATATGTTCTTACCTCCCTTTGCTAGGTTCCAAACTATTCCACCTCTACTTCCCCCAGACCTGAAGATTCAAGGGGAGACCCATGACAGTATTGAGGATGCCCGCACAGCCCTTCAGCTCTACCGAAAGTATTTGGAGCTGAGCAAAAATGGCACTGAGCCTGAGTCCTTCCACAAAGTGCTCAAGGGTCTTTACGAGAAGGGCCGAAAGATGGACTGGAAGGTGCCTGAGCCTGAGGGCCAGACAAGTCCCAAAAGTAAGGCCTGGGATGGGACAAAGGAAACTGGACTGGGTGGGTTTTGATTGCAATGTGAAGATTATACCCACCATAATAACAATGATGATGGTGATGTTAACAGTGGTACTACCCCTACCTTATATATGTAGAGCATTTAACAGTTTACAAAGCACTTAATCCTCCCAACATTCAGTGAAATAGATTTTATTATTGAAACTCTCCATTAGTCCTAACTTCCTCTTGCCCAATTCTAAAACATTTGGGGCAGGTCTGTGCCCTCTTTTCTCTTGCATTTTTCCTTCATAAGAAGTATCCCAGGGGCTGGCCCCATGGCCAAGTGGTTGAGTTCATGTGCTTCTCTTCGGCGGCCCAGGGTTCTGCTGGTTCAGATCCTGGGCACAGACATGGCACCACTCATCAAGCCATGCTGAGGCGGCATCCCACATGCCACAACCAGAGGCACTCACAACTGGAATATACAACTACGTACTGGTGGGCTTTGGGGGGAAGAAGAAAAACAAGAAGATTGGCAACAGTTGTTAGCTCAGGTGCCAGTCTTTAAAAAAAAAGACAAGAAGTATCCCAGGTGCGTTTTCTGCACTGATCTAAAGAGTCAATGCTCTTGGTTTTGTCTCTGACAGGTGCAGCTGTCTTCTCCTCAGTGCTGGCGCTCTGACCTCACCCTCTCCCAACGAATTGCTCCCTCTCCTTTCAGTGTTCTGTGGCCCAAGAACTGGGAGATGGCTTCCCAAGTTGGCTACACCCTGTCCACTTCCAGAATTGGACCTGCTCAGGGTCTACAGATGGTGCTATTAATAGAACTGGAATGCAGCAGAATTGTTGCATAGGATCTAGGAGCCAGATTCCTTTTTCAATCTTTGCAAAATAGTGGGCCAAAAGAAGAGTCTAGAATGGACCCAGATGGCAAGTAATTGGTATTCTTAATAAATATCCTGGGTAATTAATATTCAGGCAGAGAAGCTCCTGGAATCAAAACTCTCAGTTCCTAGTTGGCTAAGGACTGAACTCCTGCACAGTGACAGGATACAACAGGCGCTCAAGACTTAGCTCAAGTCTCTGACTGCTTGAGGGATGCCTGGAGGGGCCAACATGTATAGTCTTGGTGGCTCTAGCAAACCAGTGTTGCCAACACCATCATTGCCAAAAGGGCCTTTGGGTCCTAGACAAAGCTTGGCTGCTAGCTTCACTCCTGCTGACAGCTGAGAAGCATCTGTCTTCCATCCACTTTCCTGTCCCAAGTTTTGTTTTCTTGTTATTTTTTAAAATTTTGTTTTAAAATGCATGTTTTATAAAATAAAAACAAAACTATTATTGGCTGTCATCTGTCTCCTTTGAGACCTGCGAGTGTGGGGTTCTCTCACTTTGGCCCTCTTCTCCTTTCTTTGTGTTGGCTCTGTTACAACTCGAAAAAACCAAGGCTTTCAAATTCCCACCTAGAAATGAAGATAAAGCTCAGGAGTCTCAAGTTAAGGATATTGGAATAGTATAATTATTTCTTTCCTGGACAATATGAGGTCTTTGCTGTGGCTGCCTGGTACCTAAGGTGGGACTGTTAAAAGATGTACAGTATGGTTTCCCCGTTACTTGTGTAAAAGGGGAGTTGGGGAAGCTGACAAACTACAGGTCCCAGGATATCTTAAGACCTGTAGCTATTAACAAAGGACCTGTGTGGTACTGCGGTGCTTCCTGGGATATGTAGTTTCCTGGGAATCGAAAGCTGGGTTTCTCACTGGCGGGCAGTGCACCTTTCTTTTTGAAGGTTCTAGCCCGCCTAGACTGACACTCGCGCCCGCCTGACCTCCTTCATACACCATACCCGGCTCTGTCCTTGCTTCAGGCCACTCCTATTCTTCGGCTGACCCCTGGTGGTCACGTGGAGCAGCTCGCCACGCAAGTTTGGGTCCTTCTGCGATCCACCGGGGTCCTCACTGCCTGGGAGCCGCTCCTAAAGCTGCCTGTTCCCGCGAGAGTTTGGAGGGGCGGGTTTGGGGTCGGTCTCTGGCGTGGGGCTTGCACCGCAGCGCATCGGAGCTCTGCTTGGGCTCCCAGTTAAGGTGCAGGGAGCTGGGTCAGGCGGTCGCCGGGGCACCCCGTGTCTGGAAAGCGCCGGAGCGCTCTCTGGAGAAGCCCGGACAGCCCCGCTCCCCCAGCCAGGTGCTAGGGTCGGGAGCTGAAAGTGAGAGTCCGGCCGTCTTCCAGCGCCTGGGCCACGGCGGCGGCCCTGGGAGCAGAGGTGGGACGGATGCGAGTGGCGCTGAGGGTCGGGGATGGACTGGACTGGCGGGGTCCTTAGAAAGGGGCCTGGTCCTCATGGGAGATAGTTTGTAGGCCGGAGGTGGGAATGCAGTGATCTTCCGTGCTGGGTCCAAACAGGCACTAGTATTGAGTGCTATCTTCGCCGGCCGGCCACCTCGCTGCCTCCTGGCCTGAATCGGCTGCTCTCGTTCCCAGCAGCTCCTCTGTGCCTGTCGTGCTCGCTTAATCGCCAGCCCATTCCATGGCTGCCCTGTGAGTCCTAGGCAGCCAAGGCTGAAGTACCAACATGTAGGGCCTCACCTGTCGACGTAGTGGCTGGGGCTGAGCCCCAAGTCCCCAGCTCGCGCTCTCACCCACTGCCCGGGAAATCCGGGTCTTCAAGCGCCGGAACAGAGGCGCTCCTTTGTGTCCCTGCCATTTCCTGGAAAGTAGAGCCAGAGTCACAGTGGGGCCTTTGTAGGCCTTGGGATGAGGGATGGGTTGCCGGGAGGCGGCGTCGGCAGAATGGAGCCAGCTCCTCACACCTATGATTTATTTCAACCTAAACCCAGGTGGAGCAACCCCATTACGCTAAAGATGAAAGGCTGGGGTTGGCTGGCCCTGCTTCTGGGGGCCCTGCTGGTAACTGCCTGGGCTCGGAGAAGCCAGGATCTACACTGTGGAGGTAAAGGCACAATGAGAAGAAGTGGGAGGAAGGAGGGTGGGGAAGATAGAGCCTTGGAAGGGCATGAGATCCAAGGCCTGGGAGAAGGATGAATGGAAATTCCCTGGCTTGATTCCTTTCTCCCCCGACCTCCCCTTCTCTTCCCTTGCACCAGCTTGCAGGGCTCTGGTGGATGAACTAGAGTGGGAGATTGCCCAAGTGGATCCCAAGAAGACCATTCAGATGGGTTCTTTCCGAATCAATCCAGATGGCAGCCAGTCAGTAGTGGAGGTATCTGTTACTGTTCCCCCAAATAAAGTAGCCCACTCTGACGTTGAATGAGAACTCAACTAAGAAGGACCTTGGTGTAATAGAAATGAAGAAAACATTGACCCAGAGAGGTATCTAAAAGATTGGGCTGTCTCATTTGGAAGAGACTAGAGGCTTATACCCTATGCACTTGCTTCCTGGCTCCAAACCTTAATACTTTGTTTCTGCTGTAGAAGTTGTTAGCAAACAGAGAACCCTGATCAACCCCCTTCTCCACATCCTTAATCCACGTGACTCAGGTTTTCACTATGACAGTATGGTACACATACGAACATTCATTCAAAACAGATGAGCTTACCCTTGTATTTAGGAAACTTTAGTTGCAAACATAACACATGTACTCAAAGCTGTACGTGGTAAACAATATCTAAAGAAATGTTAAGGTTATGATGCTTCGTGAAATACTTTAACAGTTGTTAGCCTCAAAGCCTACACTTCCTCTCTGATGCTCTCCTGTTGAGGGCAGATATTAGTCTCATTTTAATACAAGAAAATAAAATCATCTTACCTCCATAAAAATTAAGAGAATTCAAAGGAAAGGAACACATAGTTGACTAGGATTAATCGAAGAGGTCTCTGTTTATCTATAATATGGAGTTAATGACACCTTTTTTATTTCTTAGGCTTATATTATGAGGTCAAATAAGATCATATATTTGAGAGCACTTTGGAACTATACAAATAAATCATACTGTTTTTAATTAGGGAAGGCTTTTTAGAATAGGTTCGTTCAGCTAGATTTGAAAGGCAAAGTAAGGATATAAATTACTAATGTTCAGAGGTAGAAGAGTGTGACCTAAGGCTGAGGACATTTCTAGGTGCCTTATGCTCGCTCAGAGGCCCACCTCACTGAGCTGCTAGAGGAGGTATGTGACCGGATGAAGGAGTATGGGGAACAGATTGACCCTTCCACCCACCGAAAGAACTATGTACGTGTAGTGGGCCGGAATGGAGAATCCAGTGAACTGGACCTGCAGGGCATCCGAATTGATTCAGACATCAGCGGCACCCTCAAGTTTGCGGTGAGCTACGGGAGTGGGTGGCTGGTTTGCAGAAATTAGGAGAGCTATTGGAGAGCCCAAGTGGAAAGCTGGGTTACTGTCCCTGTCCTCCTCTCTCGAGGCAGAGGCAAGAGGCCTCTTCTTGCTGCCCTCTCACATGTTTCTCCCTTGGGTTGACAGTGTGAGAGCATTGTGGAGGAATACGAGGATGAACTCATTGAATTCTTTTCCCGAGAGGCTGACAACGTTAAAGACAAACTTTGTAGTAAGCGAACAGGTAAATTACTCCCACTTTACTTCCTGTCCTCACAGCCCTGTGGAACCTGGCACATTCCTTAGTACGTACCTGCCGCGCCCCCCACCCCCCGCCCCATCCTCTAATATTAGCTCAAGAGTTGGCTTCCGTTACCCATGGCTTACTAGACTTGGGTTGTTCCTCTCTATTCTCTTCCTGTCATCTTGCAGAATTTCTGGCTCCCTCACTTGAAATACAGGTGAGAGGATAGTGGGAATGTTTTGTCATTTAAAAGTATATGCTCTGAAAAATGGTGTGTGTGCCAGTTTGGTTGGGGGTATTTTCTTCCTTGGGGCATATATCCATATGAGAGTGGCAGTTTCCTTCCAGCTGTTCTGTGCTTTTGCAGATCTGTGTGACCATGCCTTGCACATATCCCATGATGAGCTGTGAGCCACTGGAGCGGCCCAGACTGACAGGCTTGATGGATCACCCCCAGGAGGGGAAGAGAGTGGCAATGTCTTTTATATTATGTTTTTACTGAAATGAACTGAAAAAAATGAAACCAAAAGTATGAACTGTGTTGTCTTTTCATGCCCAGAATCAGCCCTTACATTAGGCTTGAAGATAGGGGATTCCAGACAGGAAAGAAATGGGAAGGGAAGGAAGAGCTTTGGGAATGGTGTAGCACTAAGGGAGGAGGAGCCTAAAACTTTCATTCTTGTGCCGTCTGAGATTCCTGCTGGACTTATAAACTCCATAAGCACTTCTTCAGTGCCTACTCAATACAATGTGTTTAAAGTCTATTGTGGAGAGAAGAGGAACCTCTATGAATAAGCAAGGGAACATAAAAGTGTGGTAGGATAGGATTCTAGAAATTAGTGTATTCATACTGATGAAACATAAAGTAAGATAGAGCTTGATCTTGAAGGAAATAATGAACATACATTACTCCCTCCCCGCCCTTCCAGATGGAGGGATCAGCAAGAGCAGACAGGAAGAGGAAAATGGATGTGATCAACTCAGCTGAAAAGTAAGGGCTTTATCACTTTATCAGATAGGGAGAGATAAGGTAAGGAATGTTATTTAATGAAAGGCCTTGCTTGCTGTCCTAAGCTTTAGATTTGATGCCAACAGCAACACTAAAGTATACCTTTCTCGGCTCCATCACTAGCCATTGTCGATCTGGACTAAAGTCTGTCCCTACTTCCTATATGTAGAGATTCTGTACTAGGTATAGGGCTAAAAACCTAAAAGATACTTTCTTTGGGGAGCTTCTTAAACTGATCCTGAGGTGTGGCTGTCTCAGGGTTTGGAATGGAATGTTTCTGTCCCAGGGAAAGAACACCTGAATAAAGATTTCAAAGACTTTTTAAATTAAGCATTTTAGACTCTAAAGGGATCTTGGAGGCCTAGTTCACCTCTGCCCATTTTTTTTTTTTTAATATTGGCACCTGAGCTAACAACTGTTGTCAATCTATTTTTTTTTCTGCTTTTTCTCCCAAAATCCCCCTACTACATAGTTGTATATTTTTTAGTTGTGGGTCCTTCTAGTTGTGGCATGTGGGATGCTGCCTCAGCATGGCCTAATTAACGGCGCCATGTCCACGCCCAGCATCCGAACCAGCGAAACCCTGGGCTGTTGAAGCGGAATGCGCGAACTTAACCACTCAGCCACAGGGCCGGCCCACCTGCACATCTCTTAATTCACATCACAGGTTACCACAAGGAATCTATGAATTTATCTGAACCCTTGTGGAGGCTCACTCTAACAAATTATTGTCCCAGTATTTGGTAGAGCATATACTCAACCTTGCATATCTGCTTACACGGTAAGATTTACATGCCTTCTAAATGAGTTTATCAATAAAATGTTAGAACTTAAAGAAACATTGCCAAAGAGTGTTAAATGAGATCTGGATGTGACTAGGAAAATTTATTATGGGAAAATCTAGTCCTTTGAAAATAAGTTTTAGAGGATTTTTGCTGTTAAAAAGGATTCAGAGCAGGGATAGGATTCCTTTAAATATAGGACAAGGAAGAATAGCAAGTGAAAGGGAACTAGTATATACTGAATACTCATATAATAAGCACAAACACCTCCTTATTTAATCTTTACAACTCCAGGAAATAGATGTCACTCCCACTTTACAGATGAAGAAACTAGGCTCAAAGAGGTGGTGGTAGTCAACGGGGAGCCAAGACTTCAGCCCTAGTGGTCACCTTATCCCTAGGCCAGTGGTCTTTCTGCTATGTCTCACTCCCCGGAGTGGAGCCTCCGTGTAGTCCCTAGTGACTGTGTTAAGTAACACTTTTATTTGTTTGAAAACTGCCTCCAAGTTTGAACATATGCCCTCTGATTCTAATAATCTGTAGTGAAAAAGTATTATATTCTCTTTTCAGCCATTTTTCCAGACTGATTATTGTTTGTAAGAAGCCCATTCTACCCTGGTCATTTTAGGTGTTAAATGTTTGTCTCTCCACCTTTATGTATTCTGAGAGGATCACTGTTTATCATGTATTTCAGCTATGGATGTACAAAGGTTCACAGATGAGTAAGACTATATAGTTCCTTATTTTTTAAAATATGTGTACGTATAGCAACATATTGATCAGATGTGCCCAGGAGACAGTTAACAATGACTCAAAAGTCCCCTTCCTGAGTTGCAGCTAATAATTCATAGTCATCACCATATAAATAATACAGCTTAGTAGTTAAGATACAGCTTCTGGAGTGAGGCCAACCTGGGTATGAATTCTAGCAATGCCAATTACAAACTATAGCCCTGAGCCTTGGTTTCCTCCTTTGTGGAGACAATAATATTACCTACATCCCTTAGAGTTGTTGTGAGGATTAATTAACATGATGCATGTACCACATTTAGGTAGTATCTGGAAATAGTAAGTATTCAATAAATTTTAGCTATTACTCATTAAATACAGGAGTTTGGTTTACTGATATAGACAGTTTAGGCTGCATTCTCCCACTTATCTTAGGCCACCAGGGGGCACCATTGCCTCTGTCCATTTTAAAGAGGTCCTCCCAAGGTCAAGATGACCTTAATGCTCGGCCTTCTTTCCCATGCTCCCTCCAGTTCTCAGGAATTTAGTTGTATTTTGACGTAGAGCTCACTTGGCTGCTTTATTCATGTCAATCCTCCCTTAACTTTCCTCCCACCTCCCAGGTCCCATCCATGTTCAGAAACAGACTAAGCCAGCTCCTGGGAGATACCATTTAGTCCCTTTGATCCCTGGGCTTTCCCATTGGCCTGATAGCAGTGGATCAGGAGTGAACAACTAAACAAGTCCACAAAGTCCTGGTGATGCTACGCTCCAAGACACTGTGTCAAGGGGCTTAGAGCATTACTGTTCTCCATCTTCCTTCCAACCACTAGAGCTCCAAAATAGGTTACCCTTATGGCCACTCAATAATTATCCCTTTGGTAGCCTCACCCTGAGAATGCCTCCTCTCTCTTGGGGCACTGGAGTTCAGTCCTCTGGTATGCTGCCTAGTCTCTGTGGATCATTAACCAGAGAGAAGAAACCAGGTCAGACTATTCTAGGGTTACAAGGAAATCCTCTGTGAGACGCTAAATTGGGAGCAAATATTGACCAGTGGAGCTTTGAAGTCACAGAGGAGGTAGTGAGGTCAGTGCTCCTCTGGGGGACTGCTTGGTTTCTCTTCATGAAGTTCTTTCATAAGACCTACCTATCTGATCCCCAAGCCAGAGGAGCATTGATTGGTAGTTGTGAAGCTGGGTATGAGCAAACTTGGGAAGAGAAATGCTGTTTTTCTTTCTCTTTTTCCAAGTCTAAGCTATAAACTAGGTTTCTTGACAAACTAGGTTATCTAAACCTGGCTTAGAGGGTACTGAGACCTCTGAACTTGATGTCACTGCTATGTGAGGAGATAAATGGACTTCATTTGGGGCTTGGGGTTTGTAGATAAGGCACCCTGGTCCTTGGGTCAGTCCCCCTCTGCCCTTGGGTCATTGACAGTGATAAGCTTAGGAAGGCAGAAAGGTCCTGAGGTCTTGTCTACCCAGAGGAGTCAGTCAACAGTGGTGTGGAAGATCACTTTAGTGCCCTGGTTCATTTCATGGTCGCTGGGGAGCACAGGATAAGCGTGTATAGTAAATAGCAAGTAGGAGAAGGCGTCCAGAGGCCCTATGGCAGCGACAGGAGTGATGTGACAAAAAAGGAGGGTGCCTAATGCCTGATTTTGGATGAAGGGTTAGTCTGCAGTCCTGATCTCATGCCTAGATGTGGGGTGGGCTGGCTATATGGGGTTACGTGAGACTAATGCCTAGGACTCAGAGGCTCTGGCCTGCGCTGTAAACCTTCATGTTAAGGGGAGTGGTTGGAAGACTTGGAAGGCGGAACTGACAGCCCACAAAGAGCACTGGATATTCAGGCTCCTGCCTTTCCTTTCTTTCTCCACATATTGGGGGCTGTTAGTATCTATAATATCGTGGCCTCTGGTGACCTCAAATGATCTACACCAAGCAACTAACTCTGGCATCATAGCTTGTGTCCACATAATGTCACCTCTATGGCCATTAAATCATTGACCAAAGACATTCTTCAAGAAAGCATGCCAAGGTGGTAGGAGGAGTGGGCAATGATCAGTTGCCGTGATAGTATATTAAGGGATTGACTTCCGAGGACGTTCAAAGGTCGAAGTCCTTAGGGCTTTTTCTCTAATATTCACGTCAGAACTAACTCCAAATGTGTTAAGGGCAAGGGAAAAAGCCTAAGAAGGAAGTTAACTGAGTTCTCAGGCACATACTTAGCCACCTACACGCTACCCCCCCGCCCATCCAGCCGTAATTAGCCTGACGCAGGCGGCCCAATCCTGCCCACCACAACTCCTGTCAACGGCTCAGGTCCCGCCCCCCTCCACACCGGACCAATGGCGGAGCCCGGGGCCGGTGCCCTGAGAGGGGCGGGAGCGGGCTCGGGGTGGTAGGCGGGGACTCGCTGAGGACCCCGGGCTGGGCGCCGCCGCCGGTTCGTCTCCCCTTTCCCTCAGCCGCCTCCTTTCAACCTTGTCCACCGGTCGGCGCGGCCTCTAGTGCGGCCGCAGCGGCTCCCGTTCCTGCCGCAGCGCTCTCCCCTTCTTCCCTCCCCACCAGATCCCCGAGTTTGCCCGACATGGCTTTACTCACTGCGGCCGCCCGGCTCTTCGGAGCCAAGGTGAGCAACTACAGGAGGGAGCGCGCCGTCCCAGGGTGGGGCTGAGGCGACTGCAGGCCCTCCGCCGGGGTCTCCCTCCCCTCCCCATACACGCCCCGGCGCGCCTTAAAGGGGCCCTGCGCTTGGCTGGCCGCCGGCCCTGCGTGGAGCTCCGGGCCATGTGCTGCGCTGGCCTTCCAGCCCCGCGGGTGAAGTGAGCGCCGCCCGGCCCGGCATGCGGGCTTGAGCGGGAGGTATGGCCGGACCATACTGTCACCCTGCACGTGTAGGGTGGAAGTGTAGGGGGTGCGTGTCCCTGCAAGAAGGAGGAGCCGCCAGTGGAGAACATCGGTGCCGTGTTCCCCTGGAGTTGGGGAAAGAGCCTGTTTGGAGGAGGGGGCGGGGGTGAGAGGAGTGGCAGGGGTGAACAGATGTGCTCGCTGTCCCTGGGCCAGAGCTGGAGCGGTGCCTGATTTCGGCTTCTGCTTTGTAGGGAAGGCCTTGTCAGTTCCTCAACTGCCCGTTTCCATTTCTCCAGCCCAATTATTTAAGCCTTTAGTGACCAAGCCGTAGCATTTCCTGCTAAAGGACTGGGACCCAGGTGCTCTTTGTCCTTGGGACTCTTGTACTCATTCTTTGTATATAGGAGGAGCTTGGGTGGGGGGGGGAGCGCTTCTGTAAAACCTGCATGATTGTAACGTATAATTGGAGAAAGAATCAGAAAGATTGTTCCTCCAAACTAAGTGAAGATACTGGGCAGGAGATAGTAATGCCGAGGTCACATGACCAATCCCACTACTCTCTCGCCAGGGTTTTGCTGTTGCTCTTCTACTCTTCTCAGGAGAGTTTGCTCTCATTCCTTTGCTTGACTTTTGTTGCCATTATGGTTCCTAGGAATGTTGTTGCAGGGGATGGTGCTTTCACTTTCAAAATGCCAGTACTTTTGTCTCTGGGTAACTTGGCCCTTTAAACAGAGAGACTCGCGCTGAGGGAGTCCCATCCTCTAATCCATGCAGGGACAGTCCCACAAGTGACCTTGATTCCTTCGAAGAATTTATACTCTCTTCTGCAGACAGATTAAAGTTGCCAACACCTGAAGGAAAGGAGTCTTAGAATGGTGTTGGCTTGTTGTGCATTATCTTGCATGGTTGGCAAATAAGGTGAAACCTGTAGGATTGACGCTGGAGTTCTTCCAGGCACCCAGCAGCAAGGTGGACGCTGATCATTGGGGAGATACTTGTCTTACTTGACTGTTGCTTCTCCTGCTGCCAGGGAACAGGGTAAGGAAGCCTCTTGGGAAATGAAGCAAGTTCTAGATAGTGTTTTGGCCGAATAGGGGACACTATAATTAGCTCATTCCAGAGTTACTAACCCAGACCGGATAGTCTAACCCTACAGTGTATTTGAAAAAGCCTTTAAAATTTACCTTTTGAATTTCTTTTGTCTCTTAAGCCTCCAGGGAAGCTCAGAAAGCTTTTGGGGTGACAGGGCCATGTAATTGTATCATTATTATTTTCTTTAGTTTCCTGTTAGAGATGGATCTGAGGATCTCAGAAACGTGTAAAATGGAAGCCATTAGAAAGCTTTTGACTCTTAAAACTAGCAAAGCCCAACAGACTCAGGAGTAGAAATTTCCTGAGATCTACGCAGTATGACCAGGATACCAAGAAGTCTTTCAGTTTGTCAGCATTGTTAGCACCTACCTGAGCTTTCCAGATTAGCTTGCAGCTTAATTGGTACTCGATTTTACTTTTGCTATTCAGGTAGGCTTTAGAAGGCAAAAATAGTCTTCTAACCTGGGAGAATTGACCCCTACCACTTTGATTCTCAAGGTCAGATGTAGTTTCACTTTTCTGAGGCGAGATTTTTTTTAACCTTGCTAGGAGACACAAATATTAGTCATTGTTCTGTTCCACCCTACCTACTGTCAGGAAATTTAAATGAACACCTAAATTGGAGTGAGAGACTAATTCAGATCCTTGAAATTGTTTAACTGAATTCATGCTAAGCAATGGCATTAGTATTAGCTGTGGGTGCCTTAGTTTTGTGATGTAAATACTGTCTTTTCACAGGTGATCTGGGTTTGATTTTGGGCTGAGAATTGGAGTAGGGCCACCAATTCACTTCTGGACTCTTGACACCAGTGTAATTAACCAATCCTAGTTACTTCTTGTACCGTTGAGAATTGCTTCTCCAAGCTAGGATGTTTGATAACTTTGAATAAATCAATTCAAAAGCGTTTCTAGATTATTTCTAGACTTTTTGAAGACATTTAAATTAATACCTATGATTCCTTTACAGTAGACCTACACCACTGCACAACATCTCTTGTATAAATCCTAGTCTGAAATTGCTTTCAACAAACCCAAGTCTGGGGCCAGCCCGGTGGTGCAGCGGTTAAGTGCGCACATTCCGCTTCTCGGCGGCCTGGGCTTCACCAGTTCAGATCCCAGGTGCAGACATGGCACCACCTGGCAAAAGCCACGCTGTGGTAGGCGTCCCATATGTAAAGTAGAGGAAGATGGGCACAGATGTTAGCTCAGGGCCAGTCTTCCTCAGCAAAAAGAGGAGGATTGGCAGTAGTTAGCTCAGGGCTAATCTTCCTCAAAAAGAAAAAAAAAACCAAGTCAGTTTTATCCAATGAAATGTTAGTTAGCCTTAAAGCTCAAAACTTTTACAGGCAAGCGCTTAAATCTCTGTGCCTTCACTTTGAATCTCAGCCTACCCAAAGTAATGACAATTCCTTGATGCTTACTAGATGGACCAAAGATGGAAAGTGCAGAGTAAAGCCTCATCACATGCTAGTGGTGAGATGGTTGCATTTGTTCTTCCTGGTAGGCTTTGGTTTGGTGGCAGGTGAATGCATGGGTGTGGGGAGGCGAGGTGAGCAGTGGTGAAATAGATAATCAGAGAAGGGAAGGCTGGCATTCCTGGTTCTTAGAAGGCAGAAGGAGGCAGAAGGCAGGAAACCAGACTTGGTGGATCTCTCTAAAGCCACACAGTAGTTCATTTTGCCCTGTTTCTGTACTTAATATGATAGTGTTGAGTAGGATGTGAAATTTAAAACAGTAGTAAGGCAACTTTAGGAATAGATCTTTCTTAGGATCTGATTATCTTTCAGTTCTTCCCTCAACTGACCAAATTCTTTAGGTCCTTGTATTTCTTTTAACATGCTATCATTTTTAAAAGTCTGTAAGTTTGCAGTGGGCGTGATCACCTGGGATACTTGTTCACATTGCACATTCGTGAAGCACGTTCGTGAACTGCCTTCAGATTCTGATTCAGCAAAGAGGGGATGGGATTTGGAAACTTCTATTCAAGTACTTCAGTTGACTGATGATGTTCCGTGGTCCCCTTCTGTTGGACTAGTAAAGCCATATGCAGGCCTTTTTGTTTGCAACTTTATGGAATGTATATATGAAACTTGAGTATTTAGGTATTTTTTTTGCAATTGGTGATTATTTTAAAATTTACTTCAAAAGTGACTATTCTAAACAATAGTCCATTTTAGGCTATTTTCTCTAGGTTTGTCTTCCTAGGCCTTTTTTCAAATGCCTTGGGAAAAGTTTTTTGTAAATCCCTGGAGCAAGCTGTTAGGAGCTAAAACTTGTAGGAACTAGTAGAATTGGGGGAACAGTTCCTAGTTCCTGAGAAAGTAGTAGGGTGCCAGATCTTATATACTTTATTCACAATCTCTGCTTAGTGTGCACATGATAAGTAGGTGTTCAGCAAATATTAAAGAACAGTAAGGATTTCTACTGAAAGGTTAATTAGGACTCTTGATTCTTTTCTAAGGCTGAATTGGTGTCTTTTGCTGTCTTCCTCAATGAATGCTCAGTGAACCTTTAGCGGAGAGTATGTTAGCAAATGACAGTTAGGTAGAATTAAGGAAACTCCTGTGCATATGAAGGAGGTCAAAGTATGAAATCTGAAGATTACTCTGCTCAGTCTATTAAGTAGCCTGACGAGTAGTGCAGGCCAACTTCTGAAATCACCATTGTGAAACACAGATGTTAAATGACTTCAGTTCTCTGACCTGGTTCTGGGGAGAGAGGGGCCTTTGTCCTATGTGTGTTCTCTTTCCCTTAATGCAAGTTGTTCCTTTTGCACTGGAAGCCTTTGTAGCACAAGATTTTTCCTACCAATTATTAGTGCATTATATTTGCTTCATCAACTAAGCTAGTTCTGCTGGCTTGGCAAGCTCTGATCTTTTGCTGATGAAGGAAAGGGCTCTATTAAAATCAGGAGCATCTCTTTCAAGCTTTTAATGTTGGAGATCCTGGATATGTGGCAGGACATGTTCTGAATATGCTTACAGTGGAGGATCAAAGAAAATTTGGCTTTTTCTCTGTAAAGTGAGAGTCCTGGGTGTGGACCAGTGATGATAATAGGCTAAGAGGAGTAAGAGAGAAATAACCACATTATTGAGTAAGTGCTTATCCAGATAGGGTTATGATGTTCCCAGAATTTGTGGGGAGAAGGGAGTAGTTTTAGTTGATTTCTGGTAAGTGATTTGGCTAATACCCTATTCCAGAAATACCGTAAGTATTATAGACAAGCCTGGCAGAATTTCTTGCATGTAATATTACTCCTTTTCCTTCCTTGGCCCTTTAGGTTCTTTTAATTATATTTTTCCATCCTAGCACATTTGAGAGCTACAACCCACTTCTATCAATAATAGCAAACTTACTAGAAGAGTTCTTGCCCGAGGTGGCAGCATATGAGGTTTGAAAAAGCCTCTTAGAGATCGTGATGCCCCCGCCCTGTAGGGACTCCCAGCTGTCACACGTGAGCCAGGGCCTTGTCTTTGGAAGCAGTTCTCCATCTCTCCCCGTGAAGGAGCTGACCTATTGAGTGCGGTGACTCCCTGACTGACCTGGCAGCTGCTGTTCAGTAGGGTGACTCTATGCGAGGCATGCAACCAGAAGCCAAAAGCCTGGTTGCCACACCTCCAGAATTGGGGGAGGAGCTAGGAAGTGAAAGTTCAGGGATGACTCAGGTTTGTAATCTGCCTGTCCCATCAGTGAGTATAGCCTGAATGTACTGTACAAAACTAGTCAGCACCTTTCTTTGGCAGCCAGGGGGCAGATGAAATGAGATGTGTAGCCTTGGGTGTGACAGTCCTCCAGTATCTCCTACCTAGAGCCATTTGCTCTGCTGGTGGAGATCATGGTTGTTAGCTAAATTTGTTTCCTCTCTCTGAGACTCCTCTCCTTGTGGTCAGGAGGCCCTTATAAAGGAAATTGGGGCTTTATTTCCTGTTCTACAGCTAGAGGGAATTATCCGTTCACCCCTTCCTCGTGCTTGACTGCCTCTTTCCTGGGATCCAATTCCAGGAGACAGTTGTGACACTTGAAGTGGTAGGTAACAGGCCAACACATTTCTGTTTATTGGACTCAGCTGGCAGAAGGCACTGTTCTAGATGCTTACATGCAAATTATTTTATATAGTCTACTTGTCTGCTTGAATTTGGCATTATTTTTACCAATTTAGAGATGTGAAAACTCAGACTTATAAGTTAGGTCATATAGTGAAAGTATCACAGCGGGATAGCGGCAGGACTGGATTTAGGACTAGATCCTTGATAACTCCACATTTCATGCTCTATGTTCTACACTTCTGCTCCCTTGCTTAACACTTTAGACAGTGGGTGTTTCTCAAACTTCATTGCTCATATGGATCACCTAGTAAGCTTGTTAAACTGCAGATTTGGATTGAGAAGGTCTGAGGTGAGGCCCAAATTCTGCATTTCTAACAAGCTCCAAGTAATGCTAATGATGCTGGCCAGGCAGTCATATTTTAAATAACAAGGCTTTCAAGTACCTTTATGTATGTCCTTATCAGAGCCTTAGAATCAGACTTTGAGCTAAGTAGCTTGAGTGTTATCCTAAATATGGAGAAGGAAAGAAAAACAGAGTCTTAGTTGTTTTGTTTTGGATGTCTCAGTTGTTTAGTAATGGAGCTGGGGCTAGACCCCAGATTTCTTTTCCTAATTCCAAGTCATGTGCCCTGTCTTCTACATCATTAGATAAAGTTGTCCTAACTTAAATTTTTCCTATTCTAGCCTTTTGAGTGGTCATATCAATGAATTGCTACCTTTAAAATCCTTCTGATTTCTTTAGTTTTCTTCCAGCTGCAGGGTTAGCTAAAAATATAATTAAACCTGACACTAAAGAGTACAAGAAAGTGGCCATGCTATTTATTTTTATATATTTATTATATAACAAATACAAAGCACTTGCTATGTGCCAGATATGGCCTTAAGTGCTTTGCAAATATTGACTTAATCCTCATAGCACTTCTTTGAGGCAGGTACCATTATTGTTCCTGTTTTACAGATAAGGAAACTGAGGTGCAGAAAGGTTAAATGACTTGGCTAGGGGTCACACAGCCAATGAATGACAGAGAAGTGTAGTATAAACAGAATATACTAGCTTGATTCTATAGCTACATGACCAAGCTCTCCACAAACTAGCATTGCTTTGCGAATTGGAGATCTGGCTAAGAAGTGTTGCTGACGGAGATTAGGGACAGTGGAGATCAGCTCTCTTTAAGTTACTCCTTAGGCTCCTCATTAAATGGCAAAGATGCTGTCTACAAAGGAAACTAAGACTTTCCTGATGGTGGAAGTAGGGTGCCCTAACCATTCTGGTGAAGTAGGATTCATAGAAACAGATCTGAGAAATGACTGTAACTGAGCAGCAGGCATGACTCATGATTCCTTTGACGTTGCATTCTTACAGCCTTGTTGAGTGACGTTCCACTCTTTTCTTTCTGATCCCCCCCGTTTTTTTTTTAATTATAAATGAAGTAAAAGGAGAGTGCTGCTCATTGATTCTAGCAGTTCTCTCTCACAAGGGGAAAAAAACTTTTTCATTTTATGTTCATACTGGTGGAAGAAACACCTCCAACCTGAAGGAATTTCTATTTTCATCTTAAGATCTGGGCTCTCATTCTATCTGTTAAGCTTGGATAGATTTTTTTGGCCTGAGATTTAACCTTAAGCTATTCTTCTTGTAATCTTTCCTCTTGCCAATGAAGCAGCCAGCCATTATAGAACCTTAAGCTTGGTTAGAAGTGGAAAAAGTATCATTATGGAGCGATTTCAACTTCTTTCCTCTCTCAGATGATGTGCTCCCCTGTAGTCTCTTTAAAAACAAAGCCACTGGTGGCCTAGTGGTTAAGTTAGGTGTGCTCCATTTTGGCAGCTTGGATTTGGTTCCCAGGCTTGGACCTACACCACTCAACCAGTCATCTGTCAGTGGGCATACTGTGGCAGTGGCTCACATACACAAAGACGAAGATTGGCAGCAGATGTTAGCTCAGGGTGAATCTTCCTCAGCAAAATACATACATACGTATATACATACATACATACAAAAAGAGGAAGATTGGCAGCAGATGTTAGCTCAGGATGAATCTTCCTCGGTAAAATAAATAAATAAATACATACATACAAAACAAAAACACCGCAACAACCACCTACCCACAATTAAAAGGTCTACTGCAGGACCAATGTGGTCTCTGTGAGATGGGTCCTCTGTAGCAGGGGATCTGTGGGACCATGGAGCATGAAATAGCTTGAGCATGGCTAGCTCTGTAGAACAATAGTTTGAACTTAGTCACAAGTTTTCCCTTGTCCACTTTTTGGTGACTAGTAAGAAAAGGCAAAGTTATTTCTTGAGTGCTGAATCCTGCTTCCATTCGCCCCACGTAGGGTGAAGAGGCTAAGGTCTGTTTGTGCTGCCTGCTTCTTGCCCAAATGGCCCTCAGTCCTCAGTAAGCTAGATGAGACTTTAGGAAGTTAATGAAAGGAGTTACAGACAGCCCTGGTTAACAAGTTGAGGTGTTCCTCCTTTGCTTTAGGGACATATTAGCTTGCCTCATGCTCTCTGAATTTAGCTTTAGATTGATTCTTTTTAAAATAAACTTTTATGAAGGATCTCTTCCCTTTTCACTCCTCCTCTCTGCCCTAACAGAAAGAGGCGTACTAAATTCTAAAAAGCCTCAGATGCTAATAAACTCTGACCCTAGGCATTTAGCGTTTTGGAATTTATATAGTACCTCAGGTTCAAGTGATTTTCAGTGTAACCAGACACAGTGCAGTAATTACTAGAAAAGGTGTCTAGCCTTTTGGCAAAAGGAGGAAAGGTGTAGACTTGCTCTGGGATTTGTTTATTTGTACATGTGCGCATGTGTGTGTGTAATCTTTTTAGTTTGCAAGTGCTTTCACATTCATTCTAATTTAATTATCACAAGACAACTCTGAGATGTGTGGTAGGTACTAACACCATTTTCTACATGAGGAAACAGGCTTTACTTTGATGATCTCATTTTATCTTCAAAATAATTTGGTGCAGAAAAGTTAATCCTATCTAAGCCCTTATAGTTAGTGGCATAAATGGTCATTTTTTCAAGAGGCAGTGTTGAACTTTTTGTTGCGACTCAACATCTTCTCAGAAAGTAGGTTTTTTTGGAGAAAAAAGACCTTTCTCTTAAACATAGAAAACATAGGCTAGCTACACTATTTCTCTTTGTGAGGAGGGATAGCTTTCTTGAATCTCAGACTTATCTTTCTGGATAATTTTCTTCCTGAAGTATATCTTTAAAAATTCCTTTGGTATAGGTGTGTAGGTGATAAACTCTCAGCTTTTATCTGAAATGTCTTTATTTCACCCCTTTTTTAAAGATTTTTTCCTCGCCTGGGTATACAACTCTAAACTTAATAATTATTTTCTCTCATCACTTTGAAGATGATTTTCCAGTTTTCTAGTTTCCATTGCTGTTGAGTAGTCCTCTGTCAGTTGTTATTTTGTAAATATTCTGTCTTCCTGTGCTTTTTCCAGGAGTGTGAAGTAGTGTTGTAAAAGGCTGCCTCTGCCTGTGGGCTCTTCTAGCCTGGAGAGCTGGGGAGATCTTACTAGCAGGGTTAAGTGACCTTTTCTCTCTGCCTATAACAAAGCCCAGCCCTGGAACCCAGAGGGTAGGAAAGAGTCTTTCTTCAGGCAATGCTGATGAAGCTATGGATGCAAGAAGCAGAGTTAAACCTGCTGCTGCTTCTAGGCTGGTAATTCCTTCCAAGCTGCTCAGGGCCTTTTGTAGCTTTCTTATGTCAAACTGTCACTAGAAGCTAGGATGAAGAGTGAGAGGTTGGGTCGCTGTAATTGCTTCTTGTTAATACATAGGAGGGAGGAGTAACTATTGCCTAAGGTTTTGTGTTTTCTTTACAGAATGCATCCTGTCTTGTTCTTGCTGCCCGTCATGCCAGCACTTCCTCCACGGTAAAGTTTGGAAAAAAGAACTGAGGATCATTGAGGCAGCCTGACCCTGGGATTGGGGTGGGAGTGGGGGGTTGGCTAACCCCCAGTCTTTCATCATTATCTTGAGTATCTCCTGGAGGTGTCTTTGTTGTTATAACTATTATTATTACTACTATTTTAAGAAATGATTTACTCAATAGTGTAGTGAAGTAGAAATATCAAATATTTTTGCCTAATCTTTGTTTTTTTTTTTAAATTTTTAAATTCTAAAATACATATAACATAAAATTTACCATTTTAATCATTTTTAAGTATATAGTTTAGTGGCTGTAAGTACATTCACATCATTGTGCAACCATCACCGCTATCCATTTCCAGAACTTTTTCATCTTCCCAAATTGAAAATCTGTACCCATTAAACAATAACTCCCGCATTCCCCTCTCCCTCTGCCTAATTCTTTTACCCTCATCTGTACAGAGTAGCTGACCATACTTCGCTGGCAGATAGAGAAAGCCAAATTCTAAAAAACAGACTTAACATACCTACTTTGCAGGAAATCTAATCATCATTTTGACCATCACTTAGCCTCTCTACTTCTCTTTTTAGAATTTGAAAGACATATTGGCTGACCTGATACCTAAGGAGCAGGCCAGAATTAAGACCTTCAGGCAGCAACATGGCAACACTGTGGTGGGCCAAATCACTGTGGACATGGTAAGGGTTGTAGAGTTTGGGCTGGAAGAAGTAGCCCTGTAATGTGCTTCAACAAAAGTCTCTTTCTCTTCACTGACTATTTGAAACCATTGTGTCCCGTACAAGGAAATGTTGCAGCTTATGGTGTTCACTAGAAATTAGACTATTCTTGGGGGCAGGCCCCATGGCCAAGTGGTTAAGTTTGTGCGATCTGCTTTGGTGGCCCAGGGTTTCACCAGTTGAGATCCTGGGTGAGGACTTAGCACCATTCATCAAGCCATGCTGAGGCAGCGTCCCACATAGCAGAACTAGAAGGACCTACAACTAGAATATACAACCATGTACTAGGGGGCTTTGGGGAGGAGGAGAAGAAGAAAAAAAAAAAGAAATTAGACTATTCTTTTCTACAAATTTAATAGTTGAGCCTAACCTAATTCACTGATGGGAGGGTTGAATGAAGTTTCTATTCCTCTTCCTAACCTGTCAGCCTTTGGGTCTAGGGCTCTCTGTCTTTGAGTTGATGCTGTGTCGACTCTCCAGTTAAACCATAGTTCTAGCAGGGCCTCGGGAACAGCTTTAGGGTGGCTTCTTCTCAGCCCTAAGAGTCTGAGCAGCTCGAATGATAATTCCATAGCAGTGTTTAGCCATTGGTCTCTATCTCTGTTCCCTGTAATAGATCCCATTCTATTGTAGGGAATGAGGGCGTAAGAGTGGGCAGGAGAAAAAAATAAAATACAGTAAGAAAAGAAAGCAAACAGTAATCTTTCTTTTTTTTTTTTAAGATTTTATTTTTTCTTTTTCTCCCCAAAGCCCCCCAGTACATAGTTGTATATTTTAGTTGTGGGTCCTTCTAGTTCATGTGGGATGCTGCCTCAGCATGGCCTGATGAGCGCTGCCATATCCGCGCCCAGGATCCCAAGTGGCGAAACCCTGGGCTGCCAAAGCAGAGCGTTCGAACTTAACCACGCAGCCACAGGGCCGGCCTCAAAAAACTTAATCTTTCTTCTTCTTTTTTTTTTTTTTTAAGATTTTATTTTTTCCTTTTTCTCCCCAAAGCCCCCCGGTACATAGTTGTATATTCTTATTCTTCGTTGTGGGTCATTCTAGTTGTGGCATGTGGGACGCTGCCTCAGCGTGGTTTGATGAGCAGTGCCAGGTCCATGCCCAGGATTTGAACCAATGAAACACTGGGCCGCCTGCAGCGGAGCGCGCGAACTTAACCACTCGGCCACGGGGGCCAGCCCCAAGGAACTTAATCTTAAAGATAGTGATTTATCAACTTAAAAATTTCATTTCCAACCTTACCAGTCTTCCTTGAAAAGTTCCATTCTATAGTAAATTTAGCTCCTCAGAAATCTTCCCCCAAATGAAGTCTTGGAAGTCAGAGATTAAATTTCCTCTCCCAGATCCCATGAAGCACTAACAAACTCTAGCCTGAATTATTCTGATTACTGGTTGCGTTCTCGTCTTTTCTTTAGATGTATGGTGGCATGAGGGGCATGAAGGGATTGGTATATGAAACATCAGTTCTTGACCCTGATGAGGTAAGAAACCATTATGTCAAGCACTAATAATCAGAGTTTACTGACTATTGTGCACACCATGGATTAGACCAGGGAGGGTAAGGAGAGCAAAATGAAGCACGTACCTTCATATTTTGGAAGGTGGAAAATAGGTACATATGGAATAACTGAAGAACAAGTTTACCTTTTTAATATATCAACTAGTAAAACTGAAAATACAGTGCAGAAGTAAATTACGTTAGGATTTAAGCTTTAAAAGTTCTTTTCTAACTTTTTGAAGATAAGAGTGGGACCAGTCAGTTATGTGACTTTCAGGCTAGTAAACTTAAATATTGTAATTCTTACTCTTCTTCCTCAAGGGCATCCGTTTCCGAGGCTACAGTATCCCTGAATGCCAGAAACTGCTGCCCAAGGCTAAGGGTGGAGAAGAACCCCTGCCGGAGGGCTTATTTTGGCTGCTGGTAACTGGACAAATCCCAAAGGAGGAACAGGTAAGGCAGAGGATGTTAGGCAAAGAAGGAGGGTAATGAGAAGGACGTTCTCTAATCTCAGACACTTAATCCTGACCTGGCTGTGGGGGGCAGTTTATAGAGATGTGCAGTCAGGGCAAGGAATCAGAGCAGAGTTCTGCTGTCTAAGTGGATGGGGTTGAATTCTCTTGCATTTTCTTTACTCAGATATCACTGTCTTTTTATTTCTCTTCTTTTTCCTTGCCTAGTGTTCTTAGCAGTGTCTCCCTTTCCACAGGTATCTTGGCTCTCAAAAGAATGGGCAAAGAGGGCAGCTCTGCCTTCCCACGTGGTCACCATGCTGGACAACTTTCCCACCAATCTACACCCCATGTCTCAGCTCAGTGCAGCCGTTACAGCCCTCAACAGTGAAAGTAACTTTGCCCGAGCATATGCACAGGGTATCAACCGAGCCAAGTACTGGGAGGTAGGAAGTTTTGTTGTGGTGATTGATATGTCTTGGAGATTTAAAGCACTTAAGACTGAAGGAAGAAAAAGAAATGTGGAATCTTTAGTAAAATTACTTTTCTGAGTTATGCCAGAAACTTATTTAACAAATTTTTATTGTAGGCTTGCTTTTTGTCAGTTGTTGAGATTACAAAGATAAATGAAGCATTCTTTCTATCACTAAGGTTATTGGTTTGGTTAGGGTGATGTACGTGTAAAAAAGAAACTACAATTCAGTAATCTTGCTATAATAGAGATATGTACACAGGGCTGTTAGAACATTGAAAAGGATGTGAGTTAACTGCAGGGTCCCTTAGGAAGATTTCACAGAATAGTCTCACTCTAGCCCCAAAGGGTCCCTTCTCCTCTTCTTCTTCATATAAGGAGAACCTTAAGAAGTTGGGTGAATGGCAGCTAAGGCAACTCTAGAATCTAGGAGGACTAATGCCAGTCAGCTACAGTTCTGGACTAGCCCATTCAAGAAACCTATCTGGAATGGAAGGGTGGTTAGTATCCTGGAAGTAGAATCTAAAAACAATTGAGCTTTATTTTCTTAAAATGAAATGTGACCTTAATAGGCTCAACTCTGTGGTTGGAATATGAGAGACAGTTGTGGCTTGTCCCAGTGCACAGTGCATAATTCCTTCCGTCCTCTCTAATACTCCACATACTCACAAACACTGGGTAAAGTACAAGTTATCGGGCTAATTTTACAGGAGGGCATCTCATTTTCTTTTTTTTTAAAGATTTTTTTTATTTTTTCCTTTTTCTCCCCAAAGCCCCCCGGTACATAGTTGTATATTCTTCGTTGTGGGTCCTTCTAGTTGTGGCATGTGGGACGCTGCCTCAGCGTGGTTTGATGAGCAGTGCCATGTCCGCGCCCAGGATTCGAACCAACGAAACACTGGGCCGCCTGCAGCGGAGCGCGCGAACTTAACCACTCGGCCACGGGGCCAGCCCCCATCTCATTTTCTTTTGTTTCTTATTCAAGACAGGTAGTATAAGAAGAGAAAAGTTGCTTTTTGCAAAGCAGTTACACTAAGTGATTTTTGACCAGGAGAAGGCCCCCAAAGAGTTCACTATGATGCAAGGCACAGACTAGCGTGACCCACTGGTCTGATGAAATACCCTTGGGATTTTGGCAAATCCTGCTTCATTTGGTTGGTCAATATTTATTCAATGCCAACTGTGTGTAGAGAATTGTGTTTGTTGTTAGGGGAAAAAAAAGGAAAGGAGAGTTTGCCATTAATATTAGTCTGGTTAGCACTGAGGAGGAAGATAGAGAAATGATTCAAATATACACATTCACAAGCACTTGAAGCATTTATAAAGCCTCACATCAGCAGGCTCAGAAGATCCTAAAACCTGAATCTATTGCTTTTCATTTTCTTTTTAAATGCATTCAAGTAACTGATATCTCTGTGGGTTACCATAACAGGAAAGGTTAGATCAAGAACAACAGTTCTGGGGCTGGCCCTGTGGCCAAGTTGGTTGGGTTCGCACGCTCCGCTTTGGCGGCCCGGGGTTTCGCCAGTTCGGATTCTGGGCACGGACATGGCACCACTCATCAAGCCATGCTGAGGCAACATCCCACATGCCACAGCTAGAAGGACCCACAACTAAAAATATACAACTATGTACCAGGGGGTTTTGGGGAGAAAAAGGAAAAATAAAATCTTATATAAAAAAAAAAGAACAACAGTTCTACTTTAAGTGAGGAAGATTGGCCTTCAGCTAACATCTGTTGCCAATCTTCCTCTTCTTTTTTTTCCTTTTTGAGGAAGAAAAAGATGTTAGCCTTGAGCTAACATCTGCTGCCAATCCTCCCCCTTTTACTGAGGAACACTGCCCCTGAGCTAACATCCATGCCCATCTTCCTCCACTTTACATGTGAGATGCCTACCACAGCATGGCTTGCCAAGTGGTGCCATGTCTGCACCCAGGATCCGAACCGGCAAACCGCCAGCCGCCAAAGCAGAAGGTGAGAACTTAACTGCTGCACCACCAGGCCGGCCCCAGTTCTTCTATTTTAAAACTTGTCTTTTATGGGGGCCGGCCCCATGGCCGAGTGGTTAAGTTGGCGCGCTCCGCTTCAGTGGCCAGGGTTTCGCTCGTTCAGATCCTGGGCGAGGACATGGCACCGCTCATCAAACCATGCTGAGGCAACATCCCACATGCCACAACTAGAAGGACCCACTACTAAAAATATAGAACTGTGTACCAAGGGGCTTTGGGGAGAAAAAGGAAAAATAAAATCTTTAAAACTTGTATTTTAGAAATTGACCACTCAGAAGTGCTTGTTACTACTTACAATGCTGTTGTCTTGACTGTCATGAGGGGGGAGAAAACAGCTTCTTCATACTTTACAAGAGATGCCTGTGAGATATTTCCCAGCCATCCAAACATGCTGCATTGCTCCACACTGTCCTTCATTGAATCACTAAAATGAATCTTGTACTCTTCTACTTGCAGTTGCCTCCGTTTCAGTGTACAGCCATTGACTGATTGTTCTGCCATCATCTCTATGTGAGATGTATTTGTCAGCCTTAGGATTTATGTCTAATAAGTTCACACTGCATAAAAATTAGCACCAATAACTGCTTTAGTTTGGTGGAGCTTGATGCTCTTTTGTTACCACATCTTGTAACTTTCTCAAAGATCACACATGCTATTTCAGTTCACTTCTCTTAATGTGATTAATGTGACTATGGGCTACTTAAGAATTACATAACAGCATTCAGCTGGTTATTTCTGTTTAAAAAATTTAATGTTAAGAAGTTTATATGTGATCTAAGTCTTTACTAGAATCATCCGTTCATACTGTTTTTCTACATATACCTCAAGAGGATGATCTTCTGCCTACAGCATTTCTTCCATAACAGTTTACATGACTTTAGATAAATAGTATCATCTCTTGAGTTGAAAGAGTTAGATCTCCTTCTGATTGACTTAACTTCACTCATAACTGGGAGATTACTACGATGCAACCTGCTGTTTAATTGTGAAGTAGCCTTAAGATGTTGTTGAATTGAGTAAACTTTGAGAAGTAGCTGACAGATCACGTTTTGCTAGTAATGCCACCTTTAATAAGGCCTATACACAGTACATGTAGGTTTTGAAGCTGTTTATAATAAAATCATCATCTCAACACTTAACTCTTGAAAATGTGCTTAATATTACATGCTTTGTATTCATTATCTGATTTAATCCTCAGAACAACCCTATGAGTTAGATGTTATTTATTCCCATTTTACCAAACAGGAAAACTGAGGATTAAAAAAATTAAGTAGCTTGCCCAAGGTCATGCAGTTAGTAAGTGGTAGGGACCAGATTCAGACTTGAGTTTGCTTCACTCTAAGGTCTTTTCACCAGTAATACTGGCTGTCTTCTTAATAATAATGGATAATTAAATACTTGGCCAGAATTTTACTAGCAATAGAGATGCTGGCTCACAGTGTTGATTACGGTCAGTTTTGTTACTTTTATTACAGACAGCTGTGATGGTGGCATGTCTTAATGTCTTTTTTCCAAGCCTTTATAGATGAAGAATGAGTTGGTACCAGTATCTAATAGCACCTGAGTCTTAGCTTATTAAAGAAATAGGAGTTCTCTGTCAGTTTTTGGTTTTGATTTTTTTAATCTCTTCTTGACTATAGCATTGACCACTACAAAAAGGAAGGTAAGGATCCCACACTGTCATACCTGGTCTGATAGTTGTTGCTTTATGAACTTCATCCTCAGTGGTAGGAGTTGAAACAGTCTCCTTTTTGTAGTTTCTTTATGATGTGGCCATTCATAATTTCCAAATGATTTTGAAAGTTAGTATATACTCCACAGACACCAGTTTGCCTAGCCTGGGCTCCTGTTCTTGGCATTCTGCTAATGAATCCAGGTCCCTTAGGACTGCATATCCTTGATGTAGGCTTTTGCAAGTAACCTACTTCCTTAGGGTATGTGAATCTGCAAGGAGGTATAGTTAATAGTATGATTATCATGTAAATAGTCTGAGAATTTGCAAGTCTTGGCTAAGTATTTCTTGCTTCAAGTAGCTTTTTAATTTTGTCAGTATTTTCATTGAATCCTGGTGGCATTGACAAAATTCGCTGAGTACTTAAGTAATCAATGACTTCATTAGGGGTATAGATTTTGCTCTTTGTTCCAGCAGAACTACTGAAACCTCGTGACTTCTTGCAGGAACATTTGGCCAGTTAGCTTGATAGGACAGCACTATGTAATATCAGTGAGCAAGTATTTAAGTTATTATTTAAAAACCCCACTAAAACCCTGTCCCTTCCATAAATTTAGGAACTTAAAATCCCTTTGTGAAGATAAAATTGAGATGTAAAAGTTGAGCAAGGTATTACCATCACAAAAAGACAACCAGATATTATGTTTCTCTTAATAAATGAACACAGTGCTTGCTATTTATCAAATAATCTTGCTAAAAAAATTGAATTTGAATCTGTTCAAGCCTCTAGATCTAATGATCAGCTTGTAGGAAATACAGTGGACAGAGGAACATATTAAATGATATCACAGGTAGATAACCAGCAAAATCTAAACTGTGGGAAATTCTACAGAACAAATGATCTGATTTTCCACAAATAAGTTGCAAAGTAAAAAATGGAGAGCATAAGAAGCAACTTAAATTGAATAAAAAAGACGTTAGAGACATCTCAGACAATTGCACTGTGGCTTATTTTCAGTCCTGAATCAAACAAATGAGGTGGAGGGGGGCTTTGTATACTGAGTAGATATTTAATGATATTGAGGATTTGTTAAATTTTTTTTCAGTGGGATAATGGTTTGTGATTTTGTTTATGAAGGACATTTATCTTTTAGAGGCACATGCTTAAAATATTTACATGTTGAAATATATGGTATCTGGGATTACTCAAAATAATTTGGGAGATGAGAGGGGAAAGTAAGGATATAGATGAAACAGGAGTGGCCATGAGTTACTACTTGTTTAAGCTAGATGATACTTATTAGCTGAGTAGATAACCTTGTACAAGCTACTGAACCTGACCAAGCCCCAGTTTCTTCATTTGTAAAATAAAGGATATGTTACCTTACAGGATTGTTGTAAGAAAAGGAAAAAAGTGCAAATAACATATCTAGCATAGTACCTGTTATATAGTAAGTGCTTAAAAAATGGAAGCTTTTGTTATTAACTAACAATTGAATGCCACTGTTTGACCTTTGGCACATATGGTGAATTTTCTTTAAAAGGTGGAATATAGAATTATTGAAACCTAGTGTCTTAGCACATTCGTTGAGTACAAAGTCATGTGGTAGGAAAGATCATGATTAAATATATAAGGGTTCAAAATCTGACTCTGGCATTTAGCTGAATGCTCTGAACTTCACTTCCCTCATCTGCAAAAAAGAGGGCAGTGTATACTTTGTAGAGTGGTAAAAATTGGGAATAAGCTTTAATGTGCATGAGATAGTATGTGTAAATCACTCAGCGCAGTGCCTGGGTCATAACAGCTATTCAGTTAAATGGTTCTTGTTGTTATACTCCATATATAACCACCCAACATATTATCATCAACTCAAATAGCTCAATCCGTGGAGGATAAATGGTATTCCTGCCTAATTCTTCTTTGTTGATAATTCCTTTTCTTTTTTTTCTCCATTTGCCTCTTCTCCCCATCAGTTGATTTATGAAGACTGTATGGATCTGATTGCAAAGCTGCCTTGTGTTGCAGCAAAGATCTACCGGAATCTCTACCGGGAAGGCAGCAGTATTGGGGCCATTGATTCTAAGCTGGACTGGTCCCACAATTTCACCAACATGTTAGGCTATACTGAGGCTCAGTTCACCGAGCTCATGCGCTTGTACCTCACCATCCACAGGTGAGCTAGACCCAGCAACCATAGCCACCAGTTGCCTGGATTGGTGGGAAACTTTAAGAAAAGCTCCTTAACATTCTCATATTCTGGGAATAGGCAGTAGGCAGTAAGGAGATGAAAAAACAGCATAAGGGATGATACAAGGCAAGAAAGGGGTGTAGTAAAGAAGGTCAAGAGATCTAGGAAAATCACCATAACCATGCTAATAACAAAATAGTGCTTCCAACTGGGAAAAGGTACCAGCTGTTCACATTAGGTGGTTCTTCCGCTTTCCAGGAGCTCCCTCTTCTGGCCATTGCTATGAAAGCTGGAATGAGTCAGGGAGCTTGGCAAACAGGCGTCATCAACCAGTAACCTCTCCAGCTCTGTAGATTAGTGAACAAAGGCTGTTAATAAAATTGGGACATCTCTTACAAGAACTTATGTATAACTGACTGGCTATAGGCTGGTGTGAGCCAATAACTAGACTAGTATGTGACAAATAAGAGAACAGCAAGGTCTGTATTTCCATAATCTGCCCCTTTTTTCTCGTCTTCCTCTTGGCCTTGATTCTCCTTTCTTACTTCTACACAGTGACCATGAGGGTGGCAACGTAAGTGCCCATACCAGCCACTTGGTGGGCAGTGCCCTTTCGGATCCCTACTTGTCCTTTGCAGCAGCCATGAATGGGCTGGCAGGGCCCCTCCATGGGCTGGCAAATCAGGTAAGACTTCTTTTTCTTTTCCTGCTCCATGTTTTTCTTACTCCCATGCTTTGTTTCTGAACTTGGTGTTCTCGAGAATCCTGGCATATGCATTGACACTCTTTTATTCCCCAAACCTTACCCGTAGGAAGTGCTTGTTTGGCTGACACAGCTACAGAAGGAAGTTGGCAAAGATGTGTCAGATGAGAAATTACGAGACTACATCTGGAACACACTAAACTCAGGACGGGTAAGCAGAGATGCGTAGCAACTAGGGAAGAAGGCAAGACCCAAGTTCTGCAATTTGGAAGAATTAGGGGAAAAAAGAATGAGAGCGGTCCCTAAATTAGAGAAGGAGATATTTTTTTTCCCTCCATTGTCTACCCGGAAGAATTTAGAAAGACAAGAATTTCTACCTGAAAATACAACTGGCTTTTTTCCCTTCACTCTTTGCAGGTTGTCCCAGGCTATGGCCATGCAGTACTAAGGAAGACTGATCCACGATATACCTGTCAGAGAGAGTTTGCTCTGAAACACCTGCCTCATGACCCCATGTTTAAGCTGGTTGCTCAGCTTTACAAAATTGTGCCCAATGTCCTCCTAGAGCAGGGCAAGGCCAAGAATCCTTGGCCCAATGTAGATGCTCACAGTGGGGTGCTGCTCCAGGTAAGTCCTCCCTTCCCTGCTTTCCCTCTAGTTTGTACCAAACCCTACTGTTCTCTGCCATGCACAGAATCAACCCACTAGTCAGAGCAGGACTCTTATGCCTCCTTCCTTACTCTTTTGATAAAGTTGCCTATGGTCGGGGGAGGCGCGGGCAGGAGGAAGAGGGTGCTCTCTTTTCCGAATCCCAATTGCTATACTTTTCCCAGTGTCATTTCTATTTAAGACCGACTGGATTAAGGTTTCTATCACCCTGAACTTGTACATGCTACTACCTCTGGGCCTTTAACAAAACTTTTTTCTCTTTTACCTTATAGTACTACGGCATGACGGAGATGAATTACTACACAGTGCTGTTTGGGGTGTCGCGGGCACTGGGTGTACTAGCACAGCTCATCTGGAGCCGAGCCCTAGGCTTCCCTCTAGAGAGGCCCAAGTCCATGAGTACAGATGGTCTGATGAAGTTTGTGGACTCTAAGTCAGGGTAAAACTGGAGACTGGGGGGAAACTAACTACCAGAAAGTAAGGGAGCTTAAAAAATGTACACTTTTGTTTTGTTTCAGGGGCTTTTAAAGACTTAAGATTAAACTGTATCTGAGGCACTGATAATAAGTTTGAGGTTAAAATATAAATTAAGACTTTAAAAGATGAAAAGTGACCCTTCTTCCCTAACCAGCACCTTTCCCCTGCCTGGTATCAACTGCCCATCAACTGAGGATGACCAGGACTAATGCATGTGGTATGGGTTAGGTTTGGCCCCCCTGCCATCTCTAGAGTAAGAATCTGGCTCCTCTTTCCCTGGGTCAAAGCTGCTTGCAGAGAATCTTCAGTTACTTCAGAGCTTTTGGTTCTACTCTGCCCAGCCCTCAATGGGCCAGCAAACCAGGACTCTGCCCCTTCTATTTCCATAGGAATCATGTTGGATTGTCGGCTGTACTGAGCCCCATTGCCCTCTCCCATGCACACAGGCACTTCCTAGCAAGACCTACTGGTTAGCTGGACATGCTTTGGCATTTTTTTATGCTATCAGGTGACCAAAAAGGCCATGGCATTTGTTGTGACTGGCACCTAGTGTTTTTTATTTCTCTTTAAATTATCCCATGAAAATTAAGATCTGGGAGTGTTCTCTTCCCTCCTACTTTAATACTCACCTCCTTCCAGATTTTCCATACCTGCTGCACCTCAAGCTGAGGATGCACTGGACCTTCCCCTTTTGGTCCCTAGTAGAGACCTGTTTCAGCAGGTTGTATATAACCACTATCTGATCTGTGGTCTTTCCCAGTCATTTGGCTTTATCAGTGCTTAATATGAACTCATCTTTTTACTTCCTCAGAATACAAGCCACTACCCCCTGACTTCCCCCCACCCCTTTATTTTAATGTGCTGTGGGCCATAGAATAAGGGACTTAGGAATGACCAGCATGATATCTTCATGGTCTGGTCTCAGGGTTACTAGCACCTCATTCTGAGCAGGGAAATGATGTAAGATTGGAAATGATCTCCTTTGAATATCAGGTCCTGGGGCTGAGGGCATTAAAAATAGTAGGCCTCTTCATCCCCGGCCACGGGAAAATATCCCTTTATTTATCAAGGTCCTTTTGCCCTCCCCTTCCCCAAGAGCTCTCAGTACAGTTTTTGTTTTAGAAGCCCCATTTGCACAGGTTTTCAGTAACTCAGAATGCTCTACTGCCTTTTCTTTGAGAAAGGATTGAAATACACTCCTGCTGTGCCCCCTTCCTCCCTTGCAACTCCTGCCTGTGTTTGTGTGGATCCCTAATCCCCAAAACCACACTATTGAGATGGACACACTGTAAACCCCTGGGTAACTGTCAAGTCATGATGCAGACTTCAGGTTCTTCTGTATAAAATGCAAAATAAATGTTTTTATTAACAATGTTTAAGCCTGCTATTAAATAAAGCCTGGAAAAATGAGATAAAGAATCCAGCTAAAGATTCTGGACTTAGTGGGTTATAAGTTATCCTGTGCATCCTTTATCTTTAGGCTGGTTGGCATTCATTTACCCTAATCAGAAGACAGGATCCCTGTGAGATTTCCAAAGGGAAACCTCTCCTCAAGGTTATAAGTCCTTGCTCTTTAGTCCCCCATCCTTCTTAATTTTGTTGAAAGATAGAATGCTCAAGGATGATAGCTGAGACCTCACAACTGCTTATGTGAGTAATCCAGGGAAACTGGTCCAGCCCACTGGTGAAAGGAAGAAACTAAACCAAGGACAAATAGGGGAGGACTCTGAGTCCAGACCTGAGCCACTAGGGGGCTCCGGTGCTCTGGAACACCTGTTCTTCTTTGCAGCCTCCCTTAAGGAGGCCCCCAAAATAAGAGGTGGTCCTGAGGGCATCACTTATATGGGAGGTCTGAGACCAGATTATTCTGTCCTGAGACTCCTGCTGCAACTGACCTTCTGAAAAAGTCTATAAATAGGCAAGGGAGTGGGTACTAGGTCCTGGCTTGTAGAATGTGCTACTATAGTTAGCCAGGGACACTATGTCCAAGAGGCCTTCTTGCACCTTCACTCCCCTAGGGAAGGAAGCCATGACTTTCTTCTACTCTGCTATATCTACATTATTCCCCCAAGAAACAATATAAAATAGCCAAATTCACACTGTCACAATTAATTTATTGAAATTTTATAAAAACTCAAGCCAAGTAGAAGAATAAGGTACAGCTCAAGAGTACAACTCTGGTGTTTTCTCCTTGCCCTGTGGCACTGATGGTAAGAAAGCCCCTTGCTCTCCACCAACCAGGCAGCATGGAAATAGTCTTAAAGTGAAGTCATATGGATTTCAAGCTTGGGCCAGATCTCAGACATCTCAAGCAGGCAAAAGTTATTGACTACCCAGTACCTCTGAGTTAGGGGGAAAAGCTCAGTTTATTCCTTAGAAAATTTGCTTTAATCCTTAGAAAAGTTGCTGTCTTCCCCTGGTCAGACACCAAGGCACCTTGACAGGGCCCAGAGACAACCACACAGTCCTGATTATAATTCAGTGTGAGAAGGCTGCAGGCATCAGGCATGTGGGGCTCTCAGGATGAGCCTGACCCTTTCCTAGGCATGTCTCCTTTCCACACCCCTGCCTTTCCTTTCCCCCAGCATTTCCAGCCAGCTTAGAGCCCAATTTCTGGGGAATTGAGAGGGAGAACAGCATCATAAACATAGACTCTTCTCTCAGACTGGGAGCAGGAGCCAAATGAAATAAATAAGAGAATTGGGTGGGGAGGGAGAGTAGAGGGGAGGCTAGGGAATACTCCCTTGCCTCAAGCCTGGTGCACCTCATGGAACATCAGTTCACGGGGGATGGCTGTTTCTGGACCAAACTTGGTGGCTGCCCGGCGCTCGAAGGCAGCAACATTCTGTTTGACAACCTCATCAAAAAACATGGTGGCCAGCTTGGAGTGCAGCAGAGAACGAAATTCAAAGGAAATCTGGGAACGGGTAAGAGACAGTCAGAAACTCTTCAAGACCGTGTTGGATAGTCCCTGGCCAAATGAAAGGATACTGTTGAGTGTCTTTTCTTCCCCTCCCCCTCCAGTTCTTTAGATTCCCCTCAAAAGCCCTAATTTAGGACTGAGCAGAGTACAAGTTTGGTATAAGCTGAGACCTGTGGAAAGTGTCATTGACTTGGGAAATGCTAAGTATTAGCTGTGCTTAAAGAATAACTGTCACAGTACCTCAGCTCTGCCCCAACACCCAGTTGTAGCCCTGTGTTACACAGCCTCCTGACTCACCGAAAAGTCCACAGTGCAAGTTCGGGGGTAGGCAGGAATACCAGGGCTGAATCGCCAAATGGTCTCTAAGTGGTTGAAGAGCTTGCCATCAGTGCAAACAGCCTAGAATAGGACAGTCAGGTAGTTAAAAATATTACAGTGAAATAAAACCTGTACTAGGTATAGGAGGCTATAAGAAGGAACTGAAAGCCATTTTCATTTCCTTCTAATATTTTATTTGGGAAGTATTTGACACATGGAGATAAAATCATTACAAGGAAGGCCAAAGTAACCTGTAAGATGCTAGAGAACACAAAAAAAAACTGATCCATCCCTCCCGGATAGGCCTCACCTTGACCATGTGAGGTTTGACCATGGAAACAGCAGAGGTATAACGTTCCACGACAGGTGGAAAGCCAACCTCCAACTGGGCCTTCAGGTGACCTTTGCGGCTGGATACCACCAAAGACTTCTTACACCAGGGCACAAATTCTCGATACTCCTGGACATTGGACACCACCTCATACATCTCCTGCATTGAATACCTAGGGGAAGGAATCACAGAGGCCAAGGGACTGCCAGCTGGGTCAGGTTCCTCCTTGCCCTAGGTACCCTCCCCCCAATACCTTTGCCCCCTAACCATGTTCCTCCAGGAACTAGAGATCCCAAATAAGCCTGGATGAATGAGTTCCCAAAAGCAAACGTGCAAAATTCCATGATGTTAATGTTACCTTATGTTCTGCAGTTTACAGAATGCTTTTGGCTTTACTATCTATTTTGATCCTAAGAGGGACCATCTAGAGAGATTGAACTGGTGATCACACAAGGACTCAGATCCCAGCTCTAAAAATTTCTAACAATGTAAAATTGTTAGCTAAATTACCTGTGCCTCCATTTTTTTCATGTGTAAATCAGAGGTAATAATAGTACCTGATTCATAGGTTTGTTGAGAGGGTCAAATGAGGAAATATATGTAAAATACCTAAGCAGCCTAACTGCGAACAGTAGCAGGCGCTCAATAAGTGTTACAATACTGCTCAGAATACATAAAAAAGCAGGTCAGCGGAGAAATAATATGCTGTTGTCTAATTATACTGTCCAACTCTTGTCACATTTCACTTAACCAAGCACAGCAACCAAGAAGAAGGGAGAAATTAAGGTTGCAAGGCTGACGGGGCAGGATAAAGTATCAGTAATATAGCTGGGGAGAGGGATGGCCAGGGGTGAATCTTGCCCACTATTGCTACTCTTACAATCTAGCCTGGACATAGTTATTTGTTTGGAGGGGAAGGGAATGTGGAGGACAGGGGAGGATGCTCACCCCATGATCCTACGCTCAGAGTAAGCCTTTCGCTTGTTGGTGAAGGGGGCGGCAAAGCCCATGAAGGAACGGCTTGAGGGTAAGCCAGCCTCAGCCGCCAAGACCTTTGCAGCCCGAGGCAAGAGGAGGCTGCAGGACATCAGAAATCTAAGGCCGAAAGGAAAGGAGAGACAACGTCACCATTCTTTGTGTTCCTCAGCCATTCCCAGGTGAAGGGGAAGACGGGCGCATCCCAGAGGAAGGTCGTCCAGACAAGCTTTGCCCCAGCACCTGCTGCGGCCCGCCAGGCTCCCGGGCCAGGCAGTCACGAGTGCGAAAGGTCGAGGGCGGCTGAGGACAGTGCCGGGGGAGGAGATGGGGAAAAAGCGGAGAGCGTGCGAAGCGCCCGTTGCCTTTGATTGGGGGCTACGCTACTGCTGAACGCTAGGACTCAGGAGCATCACAGTCCCCGGGGCTTCTCCAAGCCCGTCGCTGCCAGGGCGCCTGTGAGGGGCAAGAAGAGCTTGGGTCCCCACCCCAGGGACTTGTCCTCGCGAATAACTTGCAAACGCATTCCGCAAACCTCTACATTAGACCGCAGGGTGCGACCGCTGCCGCCCCCAACCGCGCCTGCATCCCCAGGATTGCAACCCTCCACGGGGGAACTTTAGGGTCCTGGGCGACCCCTTGTCCTCGGGCGCCGTCGCCCGCGCCTCCCTCTCACCTCATTGGTCGCGGCGGTCGCGGCGGTCGCGGAGGGCGGAGTGGGAGGCCGCAGCCGCGCTGGGCCGCCGCGCGCGTCCCGGCCGGGAGCCGCCGCGCGCCCGCCGAGGCCATGCGCGCGACCCTCCCTGGCCCTCTCGGCTCGGGTTCCCGCTGCGCCCTCCTCACTCCAGAGGAAAAGCGGGAGACCGGCAGCCGGGCGGCGTCAGGGCCCCCGGGCGCAGCGGCGGCGCGGGGCTGCGGCTCCTCTCGCCCTACTCCCGCCCGGCAGCAGGGTAGGCTAGAACTGAAGCCGCGACCGCTGCTCCCGGAGCTCCAAGTACCCCCACGTCACGCCGTTGCCATGGCTCGGGACGGGGAGAGGGAGAAGGAAGGGGACCACGCGGCCTGTCGGGAGATGTAGTTTCACACCTGTGGCGAGAAAGGGCGCTGCTGTGTGTTTGAGAAGCTGCAGACGTGGACCGGTGGAGCAAGGTCACCAGGCAAACTACTGTACTTGGCGAGTCTGTGGTCACGGACCTGATGCATAAGCACAGAGGGGACTTTGAGGGTGTATCAACAGCATCTGTCTGCTGATCATTTTTTTTTTTTTTTGAGTTTTCATTAAAAAAAATTTTTTTTTTCTTGCTGAGGAAGATTTGCCCTGAGCTAACATACGCTGCCAATCTTCCTCTTTTTGTATGTGAGGCACCACCACGGCATAACGACTGACAGATAAGTGGTATAGGTGGGAGCCCAGGAGCCAGGCCCCAGCCCTGAAGCAAAGTGGTGCACGAGCTTAACGACTAGGCAACTCTGCCCATCTTGCCTCTCTCAGAGCCTTTATCATATTCTCCTTTGTTTATAGTGGTTAGAAGTTCTATTCATCTTTGTGGCCTCCATGGTGCCTACTGCTGTGCTTTACTTACATCTCTGTGAAAGGAAATTAGCTTTCCAACCTCTGGGCTAAGACTTTGCACAGTTTTCTCTTTTAATATTTCTAGAAAGAAGTTGGGGTGGGAAGAACCAGACATACTTCTAGGGAAGGGAACCATCTTTGAAATAGTGTGCACTTGACGAAGGGTGAGACCTCCTGGGCAGGAAGCCAGGCAATGCAATGTCACTATACTGCTTTCCATCATGATAAAAGGAGAAAAAAATCACTCTCTACAAAAGTGGAGAGAAGAAAAGAAAAAAAAAGAGAAAGGAGAGAGGAATCAACAATTAGGGAGAGACTGGACCTAGGTAGGTACAAGAGCCATTGAAATTCTCCCACTACGGAGTAGAGGAAGGGCATTTGAAGAATGGTGGTGCCTGCTGTTGCATTTAAAGATGTTTATGCCATTGCAGTGCCAGCCCCTCCTCTACTTTCTTTCTAAGTCTGTAGTCAAGCTGTCCACATTCAGGAAAGCTTTGTGTAGGGTGGTGTGGGTGAGGGTGGGGGATAAAATAATTAAAGACTGGGTTGCTTTTTTTTTAAAGATTGGCACCTGAGCTAACAACTGTTGCCAATCTTCCTTTTTTTTTTTCTACTTTATCTCCCCAAACCACCCCTATACATAGTTATATATCTTAGTTGTGGGTCCTTCTAGTTGTGGCAGTGGGATGCTGCCTCAGCGTGGCCTCAGGAGCAGTGCAATGTCCGCGCCCAGGATCCGAACCAGCGAAACCCTGGGCCACCACAGCGGAGCGCGCAAACTTAACCACTCAGCTACGGAGCCGGCCCCTGTGTTGCCTTTTAATAGGTGTGAAAGAGAGACATCTTGCCCAGAAACAGGGGCCTGGAAACAAATATAAATCTTCCAACTCCCCCTTAAGATTGCCATTCATTTTGAGACTTCCACTGGATACGGATTGATTTAAAGTTTGAGCCCATTTTATCTGGACTTCAAGGAGTAGGAGCCTTCCCTTGAAATCTGACTTACATCTAACATTTGGTAAAGAAGGCATTTTCATCCTTATTTTATATTCATATTTTATATACAAGAAGCCCCAAGTTGGGGAACGATCTCCCTTCTTTTTCTCTCCTAACATTTCTCCTTTTTCCCTCAGCACCTGCACCCCCACCCCCAGGATACAGTATCTCCTTCCAGTTCAAAGATGATAATCTGGAGCCACTCTCAGATGGGCATGTGACCTTGAGGGACAGGTTCACTCTTCCCAACTCCATTCTCCTGTCCAGCCTCACTCCCTCTGACTAAGGGCTTACACATGTGAGACAGCTGCTTAGCGTGAGGAGTAAGGATCTGGCTGGATAAAAGACAGAAATTAACTGGGATACATGGTTGAACTGTGACCTCATTAACACTGTGCCTTAACCGAGTTAACTACTGCAGAATTCCCAAGGTACAATAGACCTGCCAAGCCAATTTGCTTGTTGTCCCCCTACTAATTAGATTAGCTAATTACCGCCATTTAAACTTTCCCTAGCTCATTCCCTGTATTTGAAACAACCAATTTCCTGCCATTTCCCTGTCATTCTACATCAATAACTGCCTTCAAGTATTGACTCAAAACTCACCTCCTCCAGGAAGACTGTCTTGACTGAACCCATCCTTCAAGATTACTCTGAACACATAATGTCATGTAAAGTAGTGTGTATCCTATATTCTTTACTTGTTTCATGTGCATATATATATATATGTATGCTCTTCTATTAAGTTATAAGCTCTACAAAAATAGACACCATTACTTATAAGTTTCTACCTCCAAACCAGGTCTTCAATCAACATTTGTTAGAAGAATGAAAACTGAGGCTTGGGGCCGGCCCCATGGCTGAGTGGCTAAGTTTGCGCACTCTGCTTCTGCGGCCCAGGGATTCACTGGTTTGAATCCTGGAAGCAGACATGGCACTGCTCGTCAAGCCATGCTGAGGTGGCATCCCACATGCTGCAACTGGAAGGACCCACAACTGAAAATACACAATTATGTACCAGGGGGGTTTCGAGAAAAAGGAAAAATAAAACCTTAAAAAAAAAAAGAAAACTGAGGCTTTTTTTTTTTGAGGAAGATTAGCCCTGAGCTCACATCTGTGCCCAACTTCCTCTACTTTATATGTGGGACACCTGCCACAGCATGGCTTGACAAGCAGTGTATAGGTCCACACCCAGGATCGAAACCGGGGAACCCTGGGCAGCTGAAGCGGAATGTGCCAACTTAACTGCTGCACCACCAGGCCAGCTCCAAAACTGAGGCTTAAAGACAGACAGACATGTGCCCAGAGTTACCCAGATATGAATTCAGCAGTTGAATCCAGAAGGACTGTCTGCATAAGAGGACTTTGCCACCACTTCCGGCCTTCTCCTCCCTGACTCTGTGCATCTCCCTGAGCCCTGGAAGTATCTGTGTTACCTATATCATATCCTCTTTTTCCCTACTGGGAAATCCTCTTTCTGTGCTCTGAATAATATTAAAAATAACTTTTCTAGCCCTTCCTCCTCTTCCAGCCGCCCAGAGAACCCGGTTGGCAACCTCCCATGTTCACCTCCACTCCCACGCCAGAACCAGGCACGTGACCCCAGCTCAACCCCTGACTCCAATTCCTCAGGTTACCAAGAGCTATTTCGGGCAATGGAGGCCACATAGTCCCCTCCTCCCCATCCTCTGGGTCATATCCTAGCTTAGCCCTTCCTGGAAGGTCCATCATATCCAATAGGCAAATCAACATGTCTGAACACCCACAGCCATCTGATCCCCAGCTACCTTTAGTTTCTACTTCTTCAGCCTCATCTTCATCATCATCATCAAATATTAAGTTCCTGTTCCCATGTGCTGCTCTGCTAGAGCTAGAAAGAATAATTTAATGTCTACCCTTGCCTTCAGAGAGCTCAAAATCCTTTTTACAAAGAAAAAAACCCCAAAACAATGTACAGTCCTGTATTGGAAGACTCCGGTTAACAAGGAAGTTAAAGTCCCTTATGAAATGTTGGACATTTGCATGTCAAAGATGTAAGGTGAAATGAACAAAAGTGTGCAATTTAAACCTGACTACGTAATTAAGCATTACATAAACACAGTGTTAAGGAGACCTCACAAAAGGGAAAGAACCTGTTAACCAGGGAAGACTTCCTGGAAGATGTAAGTCTTAAGTGATATTGTAAATTTTATTTTCAGTGTGGTCAAAATTCAAAAAGTTATTAAACATATATAGTGACAGGTAAATTTCCCTCTCAATCCTCATTCCCTGTTCCCCAGTTTCTCTCTCCAGGAAAAAGCACTGGTACCAGTGTCTTGTGCATCTTGCCAGTGGGAATCAAGATATTGAAGGCAATGAGGGGCATAGATTGTTGGAGAGCGAGGAAGATCTTTTATATGCCTTCACGGGGGGGAGGGGGGGGTCAACACCCTACACTTCTTCCTAAATGTGTTCCCTTCTTAGAACACATATTGAGTTACTGAGGTCTGAACAGGACCCTGAATTACCTTCTAAAAATTGTACCGATTTTTCAATATCCACTTTTCTTCTTCCCTCTTTTCGCCTACCTGGCCTGGGATGACCTCCATCCAGATCTTGCCTGATTGGCTGCTCTCTGGCCTCTTCAATGGAGAAGGGGAAGCACCCTCACCCTTTTCTGGGAAGAAACCGTTGAGCCTTTTAAAGGGTAGCCACCCAACCACCTTAACCAGGCAATGGAGTAATTAGAGAGTGGAAAAACGCCCCTTCTGCTGACCTGGGAGACCTTCTTCAGGTGCCAGCTGTCCTAGCCTCTTTCTGGGGTTTTTCTGCTGCTGGAGAGTCCTTCTTGGGATTTCTCTCTGCAGTTGGAGCACTCCTGCTATTGCCTTTTGACCCAACTCGTGTCACCGCCAGTGGAGATAGGCGCCTTCCCTCCCTCTGGGGCTTTGCCATACGCAGCCCGCAGATCTCCACGCCCCTGCTTCCCCCGGTGGGGCATTTGGGGTGTGGAATCGCCGACGGGAGGAGCTGGCTCCGGCGGAGGCACTGTGGGCCGAATGCCATCTGGCCGGCCGTTCGGTCCTCAGGTGGGGAGGCACCGCAGGACCAAGGCCCGAGTGGCCGCTAGGGTCTTGTGGGGACGCCCCGGGCCGCCCGACTGGAGCCGAGAGCCCGGCGTGGCCGGCCTGGGGACCCGGGCACCAGCGCGCGGCGCGGGCGCCGGGTCTGCTCCGGCGGCCGGGGCGGGGCAGAGGGCGCCGCAGCCCGGGGCCGTCTGCGCGGCGAGCGCCCTGCGGCCGGGCCCAGGACGGCCGCCAGGGAGCGCTGCGGGCTCCCGCTCGCCCGCCCCCCGGTAGGCGGGGCCGCGCTCTCCCCGCAGCCGCCGCCGCAGCCGCCGCCTGGGCCGCCCCGTGTCCCCGGTGGA